TGCTTTTTCTCGTTTGTAGGAAAAAAATAAAAATCAGCTTAAAATGGGGATGTCTTTGGAAATATTGATTTACTGTAGTTCACCCTTGAACTTAAAAAATTTAATTCACTTTATTCAGACAATAATTTTGCTTCATATCCAGGGATGAGAGTATTTTTTTCTTTCATTTTTTAATTTTTTATTATAATAAATTTTACTTTCTAAAACTAAAATGCGATATTTCATTTAATTTTATAATTATCTATGTAGAAAAGATAGAAAACTCTTTCATAAATTACGCTCCAACTTTTAATCTTCTTGTTATAAAAAAAAATAATTTAATATAACATAAAATATTATCAAGATAGTGATCTCATATTAAAACAACTATTTTGGAAAACAAATTGATTCAATTTTAATAAAAAACTTAAAATTCATATGTTTATGAATTTATTTTTTTTTTAATATTTAATCATTTATATAAAGAAATTAAAATTTAACTCTTCAACATTATAGAAATCAATTTTTTAATTTCTCATTCTTAATTTATTAAAGCAATATTTTAATCCAAATTTTTTATAAATCAATTAAGATTTTCTAAACTAAAACATGGCTAAGTAATATTATTTTATCTATCAGAAAAAAGTTTATCCTTATAATTTGAAAATAATTACCAATATATATTATAAGTCATCTTTATTTTCCAAAATTGTTATTCATCATAATTTAATAGAGAAAAGTAATGAATTTAATAATTACTAAATAAAGAAAAAGTCTTAAAATAAATGCTTAATAATTTTTGTAAACTTAACCTTCAATATTGCTAAAAATACAAAGCCTAAACTTACAATAGGTTTTGATAAACACTAATAGATTAATTTTGTTCCTGTATTCATAATAAAAATCTAACTTTTGAATGAAAAAATTACCAATGTCACAATTACTTTACGCTCAAACTTGAAAAAGATTTAATTTACATAAAATAGCATTACATTTTATTTTCAAGTGTTTATTTATTAATTAAAGTAAATAATTTCATCATTTATAGAATAAAAAGAAATTTTGAAATTTTTTTAAAGAATGCAATAAGATTTAATAAAAGCATATTCTGATTTAAAATTTTAAAATATTTTATAAAATCTTTAAAAGAATCAACTTTTTTATTAAATTTTGGATTTAATGAAAACGGATTTCTAAAATATAATATATATATAATTACATTTTAATAGTTGGAAAAAATAAATATAAAAATATTAATGTTTGGATTTCCAATATATATGTACCAATTTCATTCAAAGGATCAAAATTTATTAAAAAATATTGTGTTTCAAATTACGAATAAAAAATATTATCAAAACATATTATATTTATTCCTAAATATTAATGAATAATTAAGGTAATATGATTAAAATTGTAAAAAGTATTCCATTGATAGTCTTGAAAATGACTTAAAAAGGAGATAAAATAAATTTAATTTGTTAAAGTGTTTTCTTCTAGATAAAAATCCGAAAAAAAGGAAATATTAATCATAAAATGCTTTTGATAAAACTTTGTTGATGATTTATCCAATAAAAATTCCATAATAATGAGTCGTTTGGAAATAGAAAAAATGGCTTTTAAATGAGAATATCTGATTTAGTCTACATGGATTAAGACTTGAAATATAAGTTTATATGATATTATTAAATAAATTGATTTGGATTGTAAATAATGATTATAGTATGAATTGTGAAAAATGATATAATATATAATTAAATTAATTTTGAGTAATTAATAGTGTTTGTAAAAGAACGTGTTTATTAAATAATTTAATGATTGAGAATTATGGAGACAGATACCATCTTATTGACAAAAAGGCTTTAGAAGATAAAAAATTAGATAGAGATTAGCTTGTGGATTTTGTGAAAAATTCAGGTATAAGTGAAATAGGGAAAAATTACAATATTGTGTCAATAATAGGTAGTCAAAGTACAGGAAAGAGTACATTGCTAAATTAGTTATTTGGAACAAAATTTGATGTCTAGAATAGATAATAAAGTGTAGGTTAAACAACAGTTGGTATTTGGATTTCAAAAGATGTCTAAAATAATGTTGTAGTACTAGATGTTGAAGGATCAGACTCTGTAGAGCGTAAATCAGGGGAAAATGTATTTAATAATAATTAAAAGTTTATTAGATGGTTGAAAATTAAACAGCATTAATGGCTTTGGCAATGTCACATTGTTTTATAATAAATGTTTTTCTTAATGCATTAGGTTAACATACAAGTTGTCAATTATCAATCATAAAAATAATTATGCAATAGAATCTAAAATTGTTTTAATAGGACACAGTTAAACATATTATCTTTGTTGTTAGAGATTGGGATGAAGATGCAAATTATGATGAAGCTTCTCGTAGATTGAATGGTTATTTATTGAATATTTGGAAAGAGATTCCAAAAGTATTAATTCTATTTATAATAGCCTGATTAATATAAAGAGACAGATTTTCATGAATTATTTAGTGTTTAAGTATTTACATTAGTATATTACAAAATGAAAAAAGAATTTGCTGAATAAACAAATTAACTTCATTCTAAATTAGCAAATTAACAAGATCCTAATTTTATTTTTTAAAATTTTGATTATGAAAAAAATGTTAGATGGTCTGATATGCCATAATATTTATCAAATATTTGGGAAGTGATATCAAATAATAAAGATTTAAATTTACCAAATGAGAAAATTCTAATTTCCAATATGAGATGTTAATAAATAAAATTAGAGGCATTGGAAGGAGTGAAATAATTAAATGAAGTAAAATTATTATATATTTAAATAATAATAGGATTTATAGAATAGAGTAAGAATTAAATATGTTGATAATTTTGGATAAGAATGTTAAACAATATTAAATAAGGCTAGAAAAATATATGATAAAGATGCTAGAGATTATCATATTGAAGTTTACAAAGAAAAAGAAAAAGAATTAAAAGATGAATTAATTAATAGATTTTATACATTCTTTTAAAAATAAACAGAATAACTCAAACATTATTATATGGAATTGTTAGCTGAAAATCTTGAATAATTAAAAAAAGAAAGTAATAAAATTATTTAATGGATTAGGTATTTATAATTTACCAGATAAATTAAATGAATTGGATTTATTAAAATTATAATTTGAAGAAAAAATAACAAAATCTGTAATAGAAGTAGGATAATGGCAAGAAGAGGATCATATTAGATATTTTAAATAATAGTTTGATAATCATACAAAATAATTTGTAGAAGCTTAATTAGCAACTTTTAAATAATAATTAGACAATATAATTAAATCAGAATGTGACAAGATTGTAAGTTAATAAGTTTTAAATATATCACCAAAATTTTGGTTATAAATAGAAATGGATTATTATTCTATGATTTAAGATAAATATTAAAAATACGAGATATTATTATTAGGATTGAGAGTCTAATTAAAATAGGTTGAAGATTATTTAAATAAATTTGAAGAAGATAGTTTTTATAATCTAAAATAAGTAATAGCAGTAGCTAGTGGTAGATTTAAAGATTAATTATTTTAATAATTTAAATCTTAATTTGTTAGAGCTTCAGATGGATAACCAAGAAATTGGTAGAAATTGACAGAAGAAGAAATCTTTCACATTTATACAGAAGCAAGAGACAAAGTGTTTTCATTATTAGAATTATTGAGAATAAGAAAAATTAAATTTATTAGACAATAATTTACAATGAAACAAAAGGCAAAAACTCTAATAATTCCTTCGGGTCAAAAAATATAATATTAAATAGCATCAGATACAGATTCTGATGATATAGTACTAAATGAAGTTTTTTATACTTAAGTAAAAATGTAATTGGCAGAAGATATTGATGTTTAATATTAAGATGCAATTTAAAAACATGTAATAATAAATATGAATTAATTTTTTAGAAATAAGACTTCCTTTAAAATATACCAAAACCATTTTGGTTCTTATTGTTATTCTTTATGTATGATGATGTTTTAAGATGGATGGGCAATCCACTATTTCTGTATCCAATATTGATTATCTTATGTTTTGTTGGATTTTGTATTGCTATAGGTATTATATAACAATAATTATTACTTTATAGGTCTCCATAGCTTGCCTAAATTAGCATTTTAATGGGTCTTTAGAACATTTAATCAGGCTGTTATTCCTCTAATATTTGGAGGAATTTCAAAATTAAAAGGAAGTTGAATGATTATTTTAATAATCTATAATAAATATATTAAATGTTAACTAAAAGTGCTAAAGGTGATCAATTGCATTAAACTATTACTACAGTATTAAATAAAATCATAAAACTAGATCAATTATAAATCACTCATAACTTCAGAGAAAAGATCTGGTGAAATACCATAATATATGAATAGTAAATGTAAAATAAAACTTCGTAAAGAAAAAATTTATTTACCATATTTACATATTAGAGAACCCTCTCTACCTACCTTAAAATCTCCTCTAAATAAATAATAACAAATAAACAGCATGAGTTGGATATCATTAATTTAAGTTCAGAATAAACCTAGAGAAAGATCAATTTCTATTGCAAATGAAACCTATTTTCAAAGAACAAGATAAGTTAGTTTCTTAGAGAATCTTCTAAAATAACTTAATAAAAATAAAAGATAATCTTGAATTTTTGATTAATATAAATATAACTTTGTAAAACAGTGTAGCTGTTTAGTATAAGTTTTATATCTAATCTAAATATTTCAATATCGAATTCTTATATTATCTATTTCAACTTAACTTATTTTTCACTTTCTTCAACTTATTGCAAATATTTATAAAAATAAAATAATATACAAATAAATATAGTATGTATGTATAATTATTCATCATTTTTTTTAAGATCGAAAACTAATATTCTCATTCTCTTCCAATTATAGTTTTTCTAGAAAATTTTCAAAATCTTTCAATTTAATTTTTACTGTTGAAATACTAGAAGTAGATCTTTGACTTAAGGATCGATGAGATAAAAGCTTTTAAAATTAATATAAAATAATATTGATAATAAACTTTTATTTTGCTTTATTGAATTTTTATTTTTTGCTCTAAATAATCTAAAAAATATTTAAAAATCTAAACTTTCTTTTGATATTTCAAGTTATTCTAATAATTCATCAATATCAATATAAAAATTCAATTCATCTGATAATATTCCAATAATTTTATTTTAATTTACATATTCACTCTCATCTGATTCACCTCCTAGAGCCACAAATGCATCAATTATAATGATTATATAATCTATTTACTAAATTAATTGTATTGTATAAATTTATCATTTTCCTTAACTTTGCTATCAAAATCTTTACAAACTCTGAGTATTTACATAATAATAATTTTTAGTAATCAAATTATTTTGTATTTTTGTCTTCAATTTCTTTAAAAATTTACTCCTTACAATTCTGATTTATTTCAAAACCAAATAAATATAGAGGTGATCAAAATAACTTTTTATAAATCAATCATATCACGATAGCTTAAAAATCCAACTTTATTATCATCAATATATTTTGAACATTTTCATTTACAAATCAATTTCATTTTCTTATAAATCCCAACTTATAGTTAAAAAATTCTAATCTATCAAAACACTATTTATATTGCTTTGATAAACTATTAGCATTATTATCCATCTGAAATAAAACTATATTTTGTATTATAAAAATTTTCAATCAAAAACTAATAGTTCTCAATTAGTTTTATTCAATAATAAATCAATACATTTAGAATGTAATTTATAAATAATCAATAATCATAATAGAATATTTATCATCTGAATGAATAATTTATTAATCTCGAAGAATAATTTTATTGTTAAATTTTTAATTATAATTTTTATTATTCTAGGTTCTGTATGCCAAAAGTAAATTAACTCAATGGAATTTCATAAAATAATAGCAAAAATTAGAATAATTATTCGAACTAGTAAAATGGATAAACTTTAAGTAATAGAATTGGCAATTCTTATGAAATTGATTGTGAGAGAAAAGATTGCATGATAGTTAAATTAAATGGAATTCAGATGCAACATCAATTAATTCTTTTATAAAAAGATTTAGATAAATATAAAGCTTTGTATTTAAATGAAAGAAAGAAAATGAATGATACATCTAAAGAAGTTGAAGAAATAATAGATGCTATTTAACAAAAAGAAAAAGATATTAATATTAAAGAGATGCAATTATTGGAATTCGAATAAACTTTATTATAAAGAAATCAGGATATTAATGGCTAAAGGGAATCTTTAGATAATTTAAAGAAAAAATTAATTGAATAAGAGTCTTCATTAGCAGAAAAAGAAAATTCAATTAATTTTTAATCTAAAAATTAAACTTAGTTAATTGATGATTTAAATAACTTAAAAACCAACTTAGAATCTTCAGTAAAGTTTTTAGAATAAAAAGAATCACAATTATTTGCCACTCTTCAAATGTTGAATTAATAAGAATAAGAAGCTTTACAAAGAGTTGAACATATTAACTAATTTATTTAAAATTCAGATTAACATTTTTCTATGATGGAATCAATCGAATAATTATTTAAGCAAAAAAGCTTGAATATTGATAATGTTAAGTAATCTGTAATTTTTAAATAAGAAGAACTATAAATGTATGAATAATAATTACATTTGAAGAGTGTTTGCGCATCTTTGAATGAAGCTGCTTTTAGGAAAAAAGTAGAGTAAACTGAAAAAATAATTTTAAAAACACCTACTTAACAATCAAATAAGAAAAGTGATATGATATCCAATAAATGTAATACATTTTCAAACTAAAAAGTTTATAAAATTTAATAGAATAAACTTATCTCTACAATAAGTAGTAGAGAAAATAGTCCAATATCTAATAGAGATTCATTTAAAATAATTAAAAAACCTTATATCTAAAATTCGACACCTATGCAGGAAATAAATAATTTCAACATTAAATTTGACACTATAACATAAAATTGATAATCTTAAACTCAGTTATTTTATTAGTTCTTCTGCCTTCTTATCTTTTATCTCTCTTTATTTAATAATTTTCTTCATTTATTATTCCATTTAATTAGGCTTAACCATATAAGATGATACTATTTCTGCAATTAAAGTAGCCACAATGTATGCAAAAAGTGAATATAATATCAAGCCTTAAAAACTATTTATAGAAGTAAAATGAGCAAAAATATTCATTTAATAATTTTTTTACAATAAAAATTAATTAAATGAAATTTTATTATTTATGTATTTTCATTTAAAAATAGGATTAATATTTATATTACATACAAAATTATTCAAAAAAAATATGTTCTAATATTTATTAATTTCTATTTTATTACAGAATTATCCAGCTTGTTTTCAGGAATCATCAATATTAAATATTTATATTAATTTATTTCTAATCCTGATGCTCTAATTAAATATGTATTTACAATTAAAAGAAGAAACATTAAGCTAAATATATAATAAAAAAACTTACATCCAACCTAAAACATAATAATAAATTAAAATTTTATCTATTATTAACAAACTTGCTTTCTCATTTCCATTTATTAATAAATCCTAACTTTGATCTATTATTTGCTATATATCTAATACAAATTAAATAAAAATATTAATATATAATCTTTAACTGATTGTTTACTTGATTAATTTCTCATCAGTTTCAAAAAAACCTTTTTATTTTTCTTACTCAAATTCACTTACTGAAAAATAATACATATGTTAAATCATCCCATTAACTCCTTCCTTTAGAAATTAAGAATAAGATTCATTCTAAAAATATTATTTTCCTGTTTAATTTATTGTACAAAAAGGTAAGTTATATAATTAACAATAATCTGAATTCAAAGAATTTAAAATTTCATTGATTGATGATGAATCAATAAAATCATATTAAACTATTGATTCAGTGATGTTAAAAATGATAGTTTGTAAATTATTAATTATTTTAAAATACTCTTAAATAATTAAGAATTATTCTGTTTAATTTCTAAAATTATTAATTAATGGTTCAGTTTTAATAATTTATCCTAAAGTTACACTTGAATCTACTTTTTATTAAAATAATAAGAACTGTTAATTTACAGTAACTGAGGGAATATAGGAATCAAATAAATTTAAAAGTAAAATGAACCCACAAACAAAAAATACAATAAAAAATATTAAAATTAGTGCTTCAATAAAGATTAAAAATTTTTCTTAAAATTTTTTTTGAATATTGTTTGACGAAAGTTTTCTTTTATTTTTTGGAGGAGCAATTTCTTTAAAAACTAGATTTTATTTATTGTTCCATAAGTCATAATAATTATATTATTTCCATTATTAGGTTTTCCAACTATCAATTATAATTGTTAAAGTGGCTATCTATTCAACTATTTCTTCTTAAGATAATCTTTAAAGTAGTGTAACTAATTTTGATTTGAGACTTGATTTCAATGCTACAACTTTAAAAATAAATGAAAATATGGTTATAATCATTAATAGACCAGTAATTAACATGACAATAAAAACGTTGCTTAATTTAATTTCTGAATATTATTCATTGAATTAGTCAGAATAAATTAAAAATTTATAAATCAAATAGAATATTTATTCTTAAAGGTAAGATGGTTATTTCTTAGCATTTTAAAAATCATAAGTATGATTATTTAAAATGCTGTTTCTGAAATAGGATAATTAATTTTCTTAAATCCGATTAAAATATATGAAGCATTTCTCAAAATTAGAATCATTTGCAAATTTGTCAAGATAGATACAACTTTTTCTCTATAAATCTAATTAATCATTAATTATTGTTTAAAATGATTCAGATAAACTTTAATTTAGAGATTGTTCTAAAAGTGGACTTAAAGTATAAATATTTAATCTATCCAAATAAGTAGATTATATCAACTGATAATTTGAAACAATAATATTATTTAATGTTTATATAGATTTGAGTTCAGATATTTATTCTTTAAATTTAATAAACTGATTCTAAACCAGCAAAGTATTTATGATGATATAAATTAAAATTAAAATTTCTAAGATCCAGGTTAAAGTTTTTGCATTAGTTAATAATCTAATATTATTGCTAGTATCAATAATTTCTCTTATTAAGGCAATTTAAAGAGAATTGAATTTATGATTGTGTTACTTATGATCATTTTAGTCTATATTCTTAGAAGTTTATAATGATTTCGATATGTAATCAACATTGTCTTTTTCAATTTTATCATCATTATATTCTTAAATTGGATCTTATTTAAATCTTGAAATTTCTATCATATCTCTTTCTAATTGATTTAATATATCATAATCTTTATTAACTTATTCTTATACTGATAATTATGGTAAAACAAAATCAGTTTTTTACATAGATCCTCTATAAGATTGTTAACCAGACAATAATTATCTGTGTGTTTGCCTTTAGGTTAATATGAATGGAGTTTTTGATTAGTTTTAACTAAAATTCATTTATTTTGAAGAATTTTTATCTTAAATTCCTTCATAATCTATATCAGGATCATCAAACAACAATTTTTCTACCAATAATTATTAATGAAAATTATTGAATATTTAAATTTCTCTTATTTAATGACCTTCTGATGAAATTTTATCAGAAATTTCAAAATCTAATTATTATGATATACTCAACGATTAAGTTTTACCATTTGATTTATTATTTTAATAAGTTGAAATCAAAGTTGTTGGTTAATCAGATAATCTATAATCTTTGATTTCTAATATAAAATAAATCTTATTATAAATTTTTGATATTTATATTGTGTATGCCAATTCGATTTTTAATTTTATTTCATTAAATTAATGGGTTGTTTTATTATTTAGAATCATAAAAAATTTATTTTAAAAATTTGGATCCAATAAATTAACTTGAATATTATCAATTAAAAATTCTGTATCTTCCTATTCTGTTTTATTATTTCCTAGTTTCATTTAATTAATTAAATATTAAGTTTGAATTATGCATTCGTTATTATTGTTTGGTAACTCCCAAAAAGATCTTAAATTTATTAATTAATAGTTCTAAGTACTAATAATATTTTCTTAGAGTTATTTTAATTGTTGAGGAATTTAAGAGATATAATGAAGAATATGGCCTCCTTTATCAATTATATCTTAGATTCTATAATACTTTTAATTATTTTCAGTAATTAAATCACTAATAAAATTAAATAATTTTTAAGTAAATCCAATGATGATGCCATCCTAATCAAAAACTATGTATTCAAAATATTATGGACATGATGTTAATACAGCATATAAAGTAATATCATCCATTTTTAAGGGATTATATAAATGAATATTACTTGGTAATATAAAATTCTTAGGGGTTTTTAAAAAAATTAATTATCCTACTTACATTAATTTTGATTATCCTTTTTCCAAGAATTTATTTATTAGTTCATCATGTAAAGATGCAATATGATCAGGCATGAAATCATAGATATGTTTATAATTTCCTATAGCTTCTAAAGGGCATTAAAAATAATTAGCAACTTGTTCTTTATTAAAATTTAATAATAAACCCTGATCATGAATTAAACTTGTTTGTATAATCATAGATCTATCTAATTTATGTATATTTTACTTTACTTGTTAGAAGAATTTGATTATTAATTGTTAATTCATTAAACTATTTATCATATCTCAATAAATCATCAACTATCTTTTCTATTTCTAAAGCCTAATTTATAGTTTTTTACATTTACTTTTTTTGTATTCATCATTATAATTCCAAAATATAATTGCAAGATTCTTAAAGTTAAAATGTCAGAATATTATTCACCCATTATACAAAACCTTTATAAATTATATTTCTTTTAAATCATTATTTTACATTCAGAGATTGCTTTTACATAAGGAATAATTTTATCTTGCCATCTTGATTGAGATGAAAATCCTATTCTTAGATATTCTAATAAACCTAGCTTTTATTTTAAGGTTGATTCTAAGATTTTTAAACTTTCTATGCTTTTATATTATGCCTAAAGGAATCCTGAAATAGTTAATCTAGGAATTTCTTATTTTTTTGTTTAAGCATCTTAAATTCTTTTAATTTAAGTATTTGTTTCTTTAGTTATTACATTGAGATAAGCCTTATTTAAAATCCCATCACACTTATGTTAAGAATGAAATTGTATTAAAGATTTTAGTGGATAAAATTATTAAGAATAATTACATTATATCTTGATTATTTATTAGTCCTTTTTTTTTTTATTTGATAATAAAATCTGAATTAATTGATCCATAGAATGAGTCTTAATATTTGATTAACTTGCCATCATTAGTGATTTTTACATTAATGCATGCTAATTTTTAAATTTACTATAATTCAACCATTCAACTAATTAACATTTCTATAAAGTGATATTCTTATCAAGTAAATATTAATCAAATAACCGTCTTTTTATATTTATTGTAATATAAATCGAAAACGAAAGGGTAATAAGAACAAAAATAAATTATATGTTGAATTCAAAACATAATATTAGATTAATCATAATTACCTAATAAATTAAATAAAATGTTGAATTGTAATTTAGAATACTCTTTAAAAATAAAATTTTAAAAAAGTACTTAATTAAAAATAAAATAACACAGGCTTCTATTGATATTTCAGCAAATAAAATTGCTAATATTGTCAAAATTTCATAAAATAAATCAACTAATAGATTTTAATGGTAAAATATTCCCGTAAAATCAATTAATTAGGTTTGTTTACATATTGACATCCATAAAAATTGTTAAACATACATAATCAAATTACAAATTGTCAAAATATATATTTTTATACTTGAGTAATGATTAATTTAATAAAATATTGTATTCCAAGTAGGAAGTATCAATATTTTATGCTATATTTTAATCAATAACAGAAATATATACTAACTATTTTGATAATTTTTAAAAAATGTCCCAAGGGCAACACAAATAATATTTATTAAAAAATGTAGAATAACCAAATAAATAAGCATTGATTAATTCTCAATTATAATGAGATGATTGGTTATTATAAACTGTGAAATAATATTGAAAATCTTTCTATATTAGGCGATATGAATACCTTGTGTCTATTTATATGCCAGAAATTAATGATAATTCTTAAAGACCATTTATAATCAATAAAACTCTTATTGTTAGCATTAAAAGTTCTTTGTTTTGTTTATGAAATGATTAAGTAAATGAAACATATCCTTCCAAAAGAGTGAAGACCTTTTTTCGCATCATTGTCTTATTTAAATTTTATAAAATTTTTTATATTTATTGAGTAAAGGATAATCAAATATATAATAAATTAAATCATATGTTTAAACTAATTATAATTATAGAGTTTATTTGCTTTTTGTGATTGATTAATAATTCTAATATTTTTATTTATTTATTAATAATCAAATATCTAGAACAAATTTGAATTAAATTTACAAACATAGAGAAATCATTTAGATAAATATCTAAAAAAACTAAAAATTAAATTTTACTAATTTTAAAATTAATGAAAGGATAAAAGGATAGCAAATAAAAAAAAAGTTTATTTTAATTGGATCACTTGATATTTCCATAAGGAATTTAAAAGATATAAACATTAATAATAAAATTAGTAAAATTTGTACCTTTTAAATATGAGTTTAAGTTAATAAGAGGGCAATGTAAAAATAGATTTAAAATATTGAATTAAGAAATAATAGGGAATGGTAAATTAGCTAATAATAATTTTATTATATTATAAATAATATTATGATAAGTCGAGACGCTGGATTCTAAGATCTGGAAAGTGGAATTCAGAGCAATAATATATCATCAGGATAATTGGTTGATTTGGAATAAAACAGTCCAATAAATGGATAATAATTGGATCAAACTCTAGAGTTTTCTCAATTATAATAACTTGAAGCTTTAAGAATGAAAAGAGATATTTTTGATAATAAAAATAAATAAGCATTAAATCTAGGAAATAAATCAGATATAAATGAGGAAGATTGTTTGATAAGTAATCTAAGGTAAGAAAATTAGATATAATAGTGGAAAAAGAAGTGAACCACAAGGATCGATAAGTTCTTTAAGTTGTAATTTAAAGAAGTAAAATCCTTTAACTGTAAAAAGTCCAAAGCGCAGGTCAAATAAAACAATATAGTTCTAATAAAAATTAGAGTATGATGACTTTGTAATAGCATCTCCAATAAATTAAAGTGGTACTAATAATTTAGGAATAAAATCTGATGCTAAAATAGCTAAATATTAAACATTTGTATAGTAATTGGAAGAAGAACAAGAGTAAAATGAGAAATAAAAGAAAGCGTAATTGAATCGTGATACAGTTAAATAATAGTCATTAGTTTTGAGAGGAAAGAGTAGAGAAATGAAAACAGGGTATTGTTATTAAATAAATAGAAAGATTAAATGATGTTTGGGCATAGAAATCATTAATAATAATTAGATTAGTATCTCGTTTTATTTAACAATTAAAGACAAAAACAGAAAGAATTAAATTTAGATTAATAACATAAAGAATATTTGAAGTTATTTGTGATAACAGTGCAAATTTTGAATATATGATAATAAATAGATTAATCAAATAGAAACCAAGTTTAGGATTAATAATATTTCATCATTTTTAAAATAAAGCTTAAAAACTTTTAAATGGTTTTGAATAAATAAATGATATCATGAGTAAATATGTGAAAGTGATAAAACCAGATAGTTTATTTAAGATAGTTTGGGATATCATTCTTTTGTTATTTATAGTTGTTAATATATTTTATATACCAATTTACATAAGTTTTGATGTAAGATCATCTGGATTATTTGAATGGATATTTGATTTATTACCTTCTTGGGTTTTTATAGCAGAAATTCTTTTAAATTTTAATACAGCATATTACGATAAAGGATTGATGCATGAAGATAGAAAGCAAATAATGAAACATTATGTAAAAGGGAATTTTTTTTGGGATATAATTGTAATAATTCCCTTTTTAATATCATATTTGGATATTCCATTTGTTAGATATACTTTATTATTAAGATTAACAAGATTATCACCATTAATGACAAGTATTGAAGAAGTATTAAATTTGGAAGTATTATAAAAATAATTAAATAATTATAGGATAGTATATAAATATTTTTAGATTTATTGAAATTGATATTTTTTTTATTGTTAACTGGACATTTTTGTGGATGTGCATGGCATTGGGTTGCAATAATAGAATATTAGGATTATGGATAAGAAAGAACTTGGCTTACTAATTATGAACCAGATGCTATGAATTATGAATGGTTTGATAGATATATTATTTCATTATATTGGAGTGTGATAACAACAGTTACTGTAGGATATGGAGATATTGTTCCAGTTACAACCGTAGAAAGAGTATTTGTTATAATAGTAACTTTATTAATTTGTGGAGTGTTTGGATATTGTTTATCTAATATTGGCAATATATTTAAATAAATTACAGATAAGAAGGCTCTATATAAATAAAGAATTAGAGAAATTAATTAGCATATTAGAAAAAGAGGTCTAAGTTATAATTTACAATTAAAAGTATTTTCATATCTTTAAATAATTAGGTCAAAAAGTATTTTGAATATTTCTTAAAAGTTAAATAAGAAGAAGATCAACATGCAGAATAATTTATAGAATAATTAACTAAACATTTAAGAGAAGAAGTCTTAATAGATATTTATAGTAAAACACTCAAACAATCAAGATTCTTAAGAGAAAATTTTAGTGAAGCTATTATTAATAGATTATGTTAAATTGTTAAAGAAACCAAGTTATATCCTGAATAAGTACTTTTTCAAAGAAATGACTCTCCTAAAGCATTATGGTTTGTTTTATCTGGTGCTGTTGAGTATGTTGCTGATCATTAAAGTATATTCAACTTCTATTTTCACTAGATGAAGATGATCACTATTACACTGAAACATTCTTAAAAAAGTTAACTCAAGGGTACTGTATTTCCCTATATAATTTAGAGCAGTTATTGGTGAACGAGAATTTATATCTCAAACTCCCTATGAATATAATGCAAGAGCTATTAAATTTACTTAATTATTAGTTATTGAGTAATCTTATCTATTTTATTTAGTTATTAATAATTCTATTTAATTTTATAAGAAAATAATGATGAATTTTAAAAATATTGTCTAGCTAAAGATAATCTATTATTTAATACTAATTATAAAGCTTTCGGATAAATTTGTGAAATTTGTGGATGGACTCATCGATTTATTTAGTAAAATCCATTCATTTATATAGATGTCCATTTGTCTTTCTATAACCAAATAAAAATAAAATAGCAAGTTCATTTGTTTCAATTAAAACCAATAAAAGACTCTCATTTCCATATCGTACTCTACCAAAAACTAATTGGAGAAATGGCGTTATTGAAGTTTAAGAAGCTGCTCTAGGCTATATTGTACTAAATAACATTATACCAGAAAAGTATATATTTTATTATAATTTAAGAGATATAAATGATAATTATCTCATTAATTTAGGATTTGAATTAAATGATAAAGATGATGAAATTTCAAAAATTGTACCCAATAAAAAAAACTCTCTGTCTAAAGATCCAAAAATCTTATCTCAATATGAAAACATACCTCAATAATAACCTATATAATAACCTTCTATAGCAACTGTTTTATAAGATTAAAAATCATAAAATTAAACTGCTATGTTTCATAAAGAAGGATAAAAAATCAATTTAACAAATGTAAAAACTTTTATATTTACATTTTAGGAAAGTATTATTGAATGGGATTAAGGTAGTTAATTAAAAAAAAGCATGAATAGAATTAAATTTTAAGGTCTTGATAGAGGAAGAACCCTTTAATCAATTAAAGGAAAATATCATTAAAATAATGGTGGAGGAGTTGATTTATTAGAAGAATCTATGATTTAAGAAGAAGTCAAAATTTAAAATATTGGATCTTAAAATTTTATTCATAATAAACTTAAAATGGTAAAAAGTAAACATAATAATCAAAATACTATTGGAATTAGAAAAGTATCTTGGCTTGAATTTGATAGTGGGATGTCTTAACATTAAGGTTTTTAATAATTTAAATAGTATTTTAGATGGAAAAGCTGGCCAACTATTTAACAAACAGATTAGTAAAGGAAGTGATACTAATTTTGATTAGTCTCCACTACTTAATTATTAAGAAAATGAAATCAAATAAAGAATAGAAGCTAGAGAAAATAGTATTATTTCAAAAAAAACAAATAATAAGTAGTAATAATATTTAGATTTTAGTATTGATATAACAAGAAAAAAAAAAAGAAGGAAAACTACTTAACTTCTATAGTTCTTTTAAGGCATTGAAGGTGGTGATACTAAATCAACAAAAAAAGTTGAAAAAAGTATATTAGGAAATGATGTATACAGTTCAAGTGTTTTTACAACTGGAGGACCAAGTAATACAGCATTAATGGATAGCAATAATAAAGATAATAATGTAGCAGCAGATAATTATAGTGTTCATGTGGCTCATTCATTTGATGGCATTTAAAAAAGAATCTAAGATATTGTTCATGTTCATTTTGAAATGGATTTAGATAGATATAAATCATCTAAATTTTATTTCCCTGATTTTAATTTAGAAGCTGTATTATAAAAAATAGCTATGTATTATGATAAATTGAACGATAAAAAAAATGAAAATGATACAAAGGAAATGAAAAGAACAAAAACTAATATGACTCTCTTTGATAGAATTAGATAAGCAAAAAATACAACAGTGAGAGGGAGTTTCTTGGATAAATCATTAAAAGAAAATGATTGAATATAAAAAGACTTAAAAAATCACTTTTTTCAAAAGTAAACTTATAAACATTTATTTAATTTAAATGAAAGATTTTATTCAAAAAGCAGTTTAATTTATTATTAAGAAAAAGTTAATTTTTTAAGCTTTTTAAATAATCTTTTGATTTTTATGGGCTCTAATCTCATCAAAATTTAAAGTGATTTCTTATTTTATTAATATTTCCATTATAAAATTAGGATTATATCTTTAAATCTTTTATTCTTGGAAATGTCGAAATATTTAATTTAACTGAAAATTTCAAATTCATTTCATTAAATTTTATGAATAGATAATATGAATGACAATAAAATTGAAATATATTCCTAATTTTTGTTTAAATTAATTATTTATTAATTTAATATAATTTAACTTAAAATCTCAATCTATTAGATTTCCAAAAGTCAATAAATAAGAAAGATAAATAATGATTTAAGGAGTGAATTTTTATATAATTAAGAGCAGTCTTAAAATTTATTTGTTAAATTAATGTAAATTTGAATAAGGATTTAATTAAAATAGGTCAAGAGTTTTATTAAAATAAAGTTAATTTATGATGTGAATAGAGAATATTATAATAGAAATATTAGATATAAAAATTAATGTAGAAATGAATGATGTGAAAAAATAGTAGTATCTACTATATTTTTAAATTCGAATCAAATGAATATATTTTGAGAAATTTTTGTAAATAATGGAAAAAATGATTGAAAATTTATAAATTTTTATATAAAAATGGGATGTCTGTAATCAAAGAGAGCGTTAAAAGAATCATAAACAAAACTAAAATAAGACAATCCTCAATAATATGATCCAAACAGTACATCTATATATAATGTATAGAGAGAGAGACACAATATTAAGTTATTATAAATGGAATATTTTTTGATGCACTCAATCCAGATGAGTGATTCTTTCCTTTCATTTGATTCTCAAAAATTGATTGATATATTTTATCGATTTAACAAACCACAAATAAAATCTGAAGCTTCTTTGAGTTTTTCTTTGTCAATACCTGTTTCTATTCCCAAATAATTTAATGTATTTACTACAGTTTCTGTAGCTACATTTCCACTAGGTTTACCAGCATATGGACAACCTCCTAAACCTGAAACTGATGAATCAACAACTTAGATTCCATGCTATATTATTAATTTCTGAATTAAATTACTTCTAAAGCAACCAGTATGTTTGGAATAGCTCTATCATAAGTATCATGAAAATGAACAGCCAATTTTTAAAAGTCAAATTAAGAAAGAGCTTACATTAAATCTTTAGTCTTCTCAGGTGTTCCAACTCCAATAGTGTCTCCTAATGAAACTTCATAACAACCTTATAATAATCGTTTATTTTTTGAATACCCATTTCAAATAATTTTTATGTTACTTCTGCTACTTTTAAAGGATTAATATCCCCTTCATATGGACATCCCATAACACATGATACATATCCTCTTATTTTAATTCCATTTTATTAGGCTTTTATTACTACCTCATTAAATCTTTTTAGTGAATCAGACTAAACTTATTAAATTATACTTACAATAGAACAGTTTATATTTTTTTAAGAAAATGCTTCAGATGCAGCTCCAAATACAGCTATTTCTTTTACATCAACTTTTAATGCTTAATCTAATCCAGTTACATTAGGAACTAGAACAGGATAACTCACATTTGGAACTTTATCTATTTTCTAATAAACTTCAGAAGCATCCCCCATTTATGGTACCCATTTCTTTGATACAAAACTAGTAGTCTCTATTGCCTAAAATCCACATTAAGATAATCTTTAGATTAATTGAATTCATACAGATTTATGAATTTTACTTTATTCTCACTTTCTACTATTATCTTTTCATTCTATAATCCATCTCTTGGTCCCATTTCTACTATTTTAACTTTTTATGGCAACTTTATATTCTTATACTTTTGAAGTTATGACAATAAATTATTCACTCTACTCATAAATAAAATGATGGCTTAATTATAACAGAAATTATTAGAAATAATAGAAAATCTCATTAACAATCCAATATCTCTAGAATTTGTAGATCCTTATGATGATGAAGATTACAATAAAGTTATCATAAACAAAATGGATTTGTAAATATTATTCTTATTCATAGAACAACTATTAAAAAGAAGCTAGAGTCCAATAGATATTTAAATCATTCTGAATTCTTTAAAGATTTAGATTTAGTTTGGAAGAATTGCTAATTATACAACTAAAAGGGTACAATCATTTACTATTCACAATAATAGGATCAATAATCTATAAATAATCAATTTATTTAGAATAACAATGCAAAAGCTTATAAAAAGTTATTGAAGATGATTTTAATTTAGGAAAGAAAAAAAAAAAACAAAATTCAGAAAGACCGCCTAATTTATAATAACCTTCTTTTGATTTTCGCTTAAAGTAATTTTTTTATAAATTCATTTAGAAATAAACCAAGTAATGAAGCGTCTCGTCTTAAATTTTGTCATACAATTAAAAATTTAGAGCAAGAACAATTAATTAAAATAATAAACTATTTAGCTGAATTTTAACCAGAATGTCTCTCAAGAGAAGAAGATAAATTAGTTATTGATGTAAAAAAATTAGATTCCAAAGCATGTGAATAAGTTAATTTGCTTTGAATATTTTAATAGTATAGATAAATATAAAATTATATTAATTTTAATAAGAAAATCTCTAATTATCAATATTTATATATTAACAATGAAATATTTATTTATTTATTTTAATAATTCTTCTCAATATTAAATTATCTAGATATTTAATCAAGAATATTTTTAATTAAAAATTCTAAGTTATCCCTAAATAATTATGAAGTAAAATAGAAACTTTAGAAGATAGTTTTATTATAATTTGATTTCATGTTAATCTAAAATAGATAGAACATTGAATAAATTTAATGAGTTGAATTTAATTATAATCACATTATTCTTTTTAAAATTAGATACATATTAATTTATTTAAACTTCATCATAATAATTTAGTATCACTGTTATAAATCAACTAAAAACCACCAATTTTCTTTTTGGTTTTATTCTAGTTATCGACGACAACTTTAACAATATCTTCAAGCATTTTAGGTATGATTTAGGCAGTAACTGGAGTTGTAGTATCACTAGAAGGTGACATATTAACTTCGATTAACCAAGAATTAAATTAATCATCAATCATAAAATCGTATCCATAAACTTCAAAGGAACGCTTTCTATTTTTTAATTAATCACTGCAACATCTTAAACTGTTTATCACGATTTCTTTAAATTTAGGTTGTATTTTCTCAGCAAAAACATCCCAACCAAATTCTTCTAATAAATACTGTTAAAAATCATCTTATGTCCACATATTTCCTTTAATTTCTGATTTATGAAATTTTTATGAATATTTGGCTATAGCATTATTTGTAAGATGAGCAAATCTGTTGTGAAACTAATCAATATCAAATTCTTCAGCTGAAAATCTCACATAACATTCATTATAGAAATATATTTTTAATGGAACTAATTCTGTTACTAATATCCATTATCTTATATCAAATTTACGGTTTTTTATAATCAAAGGATTTTCAATATATTTCATAGCAACATAATTCATCGTCTCCTTATTGACATTGTCTAAAATTTAATTTAAATCATCAAGACATCTAATTCCTCTTCCTCTTGAAGAATATTCAGGTTTTACAATCCAAATATTTCTAGTTCCTTGAAGAGAGTTTTAAGGATTTTTACTTAATTATTTAAGTAATTCTTTTATTTAAGGAACATACTTTTTAAGAAATTGAATTCCTTCATAATCTTCGTATCCATTTAATTTTAGTTATTATTCTATATAATCTTAAATTAAGATTTCTTTAGGTTTATCTGGATCTTTCAAAAGAACAATCCATTCTCCAGGATGAATGAAAGGAAATTCATCTTTAAGAATACTTTTAACCATATTAGTTAAAGATTTGTTTACTCTATTCATCACAACTAAACAAAGTCTAATTCTGAATCTTTATCTGTAATTTAACTAATTAACATTAAGTGGTTGTTATTTTTCTTCTTTTATTCTTAATGTATTATTGTTTTAATCATCAAACTTTGTATTATTATTATTATAATTTAGTTCTGTTCTTATTGTATTATTCTAATCATCTCCTTTATTATTGTAATCTCCATCATCTTCAGGCTCAACTATGATTTTATTTTAATTTTGATTAGTTAAACTTTATTCAAAATCTAGTAATATACTATGAATTTTTGATATTTTGAAATCCTCTATAAAATCTGAAAAATCGACTAAATCTCCAAGATCATAACATCTTGGAAAGAATGATTCCCAATTATTGATACATCTAATATTTCTTGCCAATCCATATTTTGAACATAAACATTAATTACAATCAAAATGATTAATCTATTGAAATTCCATTAAATTCATAAAATCATCACTTCTCAAACTGCATGTCCATTTCAAATCAAAAAATGGACTATATGCATCATCATTTTCTGCCCAATTTCTTTCTAATAATGCATCTCTAAGTGCATGATATCCACTAGTAATTATAAATACTTTTTAATTTAAAGCTACATTATTTTTTTTTTTCCATGTAGGATAGTCTTATATTCCCCTTGCACTTATTTTTTTCTTTTTAAGTGTATCATCCTCTTCATCTTATTCATAATCTCTTTGACTGTTTTTTATTGCAACTGATTTCTTTTTTGGACTGTATTTCAATAATTCAAGTTAAATTTACACTTTCAAATAATTATAATTTTGTACATAACATTTTAAATGTGCTCCTATACTTATAACGAACTTTATTGCTTAAAAATTTTTTTATTTTTTATAGATGTTCCTCTGGATTCTCTTTTGATTAAGAAATTACTCGTATTAATTTTAAATCATCTTTCACTATTTTATCAAAATAATATTCTTTTTTTCCCATCAAAACCAATAATTGAATTAAATTATATCGCAATGGATTAAGGTCCTCGTTCTTTTATTAAGGCTCCTCTATCAATGGTACTAATTTCTTTTATGTTGTTAAAGCTCTTTATTACATTTGCGGTTCTTCAATGTTATCTTCCAATTTCTTTAAGGTTCTTAATTGTCCTCTTATTGGCTCTTTTGATTTTGATTTTATTAACTGTCCTTTTGATTTCATTGATTAAAACAATTTAACATTTAAATTAATGCTTGCTTTATTTCCTTAAACATTGAAATATGATGCACGATAATCTAACATTTTTAATTAGTATAATTTTATAAAAATCAATAATTTCAATTATGTTCACCTAATCTTCTAGGAATTACATATTTATTAACAATATATTAATTATTAATTACAATAGAAGGAGTGTAACTTCGAATTCTCTAATTTACTTTTTTTGGACTTGATATCATACTCAATTTTTTCGTAAGCACTCCTATCTATTAATTGTGTTCTCCTATATATTTTAAAGTATAGAATCCTTTTGTAGTTTCTTCAGTATTTGAAGCTTATTACAAAGGTGAACAAATCCATCTACTATAAGTGGCTCTAAATTCATTGGTATTTAGTCTACAACCTCCTGCTGATTGACTTTATCTAGATACATCATTCATTTTTGGAGTTTCCATATAGAACTACTTCCCTCTCTCATTAAAATTATTAAGTTTTAACTTAGGCTAATTTGCTGAAGACCATCTTATTCTTGGCTAAATATTTCTTATCAAATGACTTATTGGTTTTGACTCTTCAAATGAAAATTCTATTTTAACAGGTTTTTATTCCTGGCTGGTATAACAAAAACGATGATTATAGAACCCTTTTGAAGTAACCTGGTTTATATATATCAATTTATTTACTTACAAGACTGTTATACATATTTTATATTGTTATAAAATAGTAATATTTAAATTGTATGCATAAGGGTTAAATATTTGAAAATTGAGAAGACAATAGATCTGATAATTAAATATTCGGTTCATATCATACTCAAATGTTTATTTATTGATAGGCTTAAATGGATCTTCTTTTTCTTTCTTTTACAAGTTCTTATGTTGCTGTCCATAATATTTTAATCTTTTTGGATTGCTCATCATTATCTGACAATGCTTTGGGTAGTTTTTCATTAATTATTTTGATAACTTCCTAGATTTCTGCTTCTTTAAACTAAATTGATTAATAAATTATTTACTTCAACTTATTCAAAGAAATAGAAATATTTATTCAAAATTTAAATAAAAACATATACAAATTTTGGATTGTTTCCAATGCTTTGGTTTGCTATTTTCAAAGCCTTTTTGAAACATTCTTGAACTCTTTAAGCATTTTTTTAATATCTATTGTAAAACATATGAGTGGAATTGAGGACACCAATAGCTTATTCATTCTTCTTTAATAATTTAGCAGCTTGTTATGTGGCATTTCCAGCAAGAGTATCAAAGTTTTCAGGATTAATACAATTTAATTATGCAAAAGTAGACATAATTTAATTTAATAAGGTAACTTTTAAATTAGAATCTCCAATTTCATCTTAGAATATGGTGATAATCTATGTTCCTATATCATAAGAGAATTCATCAAATTCTTGAGTTTGATCAACAGTATTGATGCATAACAAAAAGTTTAAGTAAAGTTTCAAAGCTAACTCTGGAAAGTTTCCTTGTAAAACCTCAATTAATTCTTTGATTTAGTCAAATAAGGCTTTGTAGGATATTTCTTCTAAAGTAATAATAAAATATAAATTACATTATCGTTCTGTTTATCCTGCTATTTGTTAAACTAATTTAAATAAAGCAAAAATGGCAGCAGGATAAGTGTATTTTTATCTGTTAACATCTCCGAGTTTGAATTTGGCAATAAATTTTTATAAAATAGTGTTTTAAATTGATAAGTCTTGATTAGAAACTAGATGAACAGTTCTGGCTACTAATTATTATTCTTCTTCAAATTCATTTTCTGGAATTTCAACATAATCATTTTATGTAATCAAGAGTGGTGAAATAAATTTGAGTAACTCTTCAGTGATTTTTAAATCTTCTATAACTTAATTTAAGTTGACAACAGCTTAACAGATTTTGATAGCAACTTGTCTTCTTTTTTAAAATGGAAGATGTTTCATAAGATTAGGATACTCATTCATAGTTAGAATAGATAAACTCATAGTATCCAAAGGCATAGCTAGAAACTTAACAATATTTTTTTAGCATTCTTCAGTGAAATCAGTTTCATTTTATCGTTCACATAATCTACAACATGATTTAAGTATATCATTGACATATTCTGAATTAGAGGGATAGCATCTAAGTGTAAAATTGAGAAAAGCAACTTATAAATCTAATAGATTTTTAAATTCTATTTGACTGTTAGAATCTAACATCTATATATAAATTTGATATTAATACTTTGTCAATATTTTATTTAAACATGCTGTAAATATCGACTTCAGAATTAAATGTGCCCATATCATTATTTAATGCAAAATCAGCTAATCTACCCATAAGATTAATGAATATATTTTTGATATCGACTGTAGGTTCAAGTTGAGTTGTACAAACCTTAAGAAGTTCTTAAAGAGTTTACAAATGATACTCATCTGGAAAAGCTTGAATAGTGCAATCCATTAAATATGTTTAAGAGATTGCATCTTTACTACTGGTAATTATATCAATGATTTTAGGTAAAACCTTTGCTTTATAAGTATCTAATGACACTCCTTCTAAGTTGCTCAATCTTGTAACATTTTCTCCAATTGTTACCTTTAGATCCATCCTTTCTCTTTCTCTCTTTGATTTCTCTTTAGAACCTTACATTCTTATCCATAATTTATTCATCTCTGATAAATTTCTTATAATTATTTCAATGGCATCATCAATATTTCCTCCAGCTCCTTCATATTCAGATCCTGTGTCTGGCAATCTGTCTTTGCACAATTTCAAAAAATAATATCTAATAAATAATCCTCTTAATGGATGTTGAATAGCCTAGTATATTTACTATTATTACTTTTATACATTCCAATAAGTCAAGCAAGATCACTTTTGCTCCAATTTCATGAGTTTATATGAATACCGATCCCACTGTGATTAGTAGATATAAACGTGGAATGACGTATGTGGCATGCTAAACTGATTCATATAAGTCTGGCATTTTCCTTCCTCTTCTATACTCTTCTTTGAAGTAATTCTCCAATATACGCATCTCATCAAACACCTACATAAACAAAATGTAATAATTTCTTGGACTCAACAAAGAAGTTTTCAATTCACTCAACATTGCTGAAGAATATCTCAAGGCATCTTTTAATTAAGCCTTCTCTAACGAAGCCCTCATAAAATATGCTTGTTCTTTGACAACTTTACGGGCATCTTCCAAATACTTTTCTTAATCTTCTTCCATTTTTTAATCAAAACAATTTAATTTTTAATAAATCTCTCAACCACTATTTCTTACTTAAAACACACATTGAAGATTTATTCAATAAATATAAATATAAACCTCTTATTCTATAACATAAATAACTAATTTAATAACACTTTCAATATTATTAATACCCATTCTCTTTTCACTTTATCTTTCTTGCAATAACTTATTCACTTTTATCCATTCAAAATTACTCAAATACAAACTAATATGTTAAAACCTATACAATTATCTATATACATATTACTTAAATCATTAATATAACAGAAGATAAATCATTCTTCAAATTATGAAAGTTTTCAAACTTTTTTTTACTTTTAAATGCTTATTTCTTATTTTCTTTTCTGTCAAAATGCTTTTCTTATTCAAAAATTTATAATATATTAAATCTCTATTGTATTTTAACTTGAAATTGGATTAAAATAATTACTTTAAATTAGAAGTTCATGTCTAGTCAATGTCATTCTGTTCAAAAAAATAGTAAATTTTAAGGGAAACAAACTAACCTTATTCAAGGTCAACTCATAGGTGATTCCATTAGAAATTTCTAATAGGTTTTATATTCTTTGCTACTCTAGTGTGCTTTTACATATACACCTTTATCCGGCAATTCTTTAAGTGTTGTTTGTTCTCCAGAAACTCAAAAATTAAATGAAAAAATCTAAGAAGAACTTAGTCAATTAGATGATGTACCCAACTATCACTTTCCTTCGATTTTTTAAAGAGAGGAAGATAGGATGTAATACTAAGTTTAAACTATGCAGTTTTTTGAAAGTATATTGTATTAAACTATAGAGTCTAGGATCTTAGATGCTTGAAGCTATTGTAAACTATAAGAGACAATCTTAGGATATCATTCTACCCATAAATGAGTTCATTTCAGAGTAGAATTGTCAAGGATTTTGGATTCTCAAAATTTTTGTAATCAATATTGTTCACATTTTAGACCAAAAAATTTATAGAACTTAACAATTATGATAATTCCAAAGAACTTGTTAATTTTTGTTTGAAACTATTAAATAGAAATCTCAATATAAATCATGGTATTCTATATTCTTATTACTATAGATGATATTGTCCAGCAACTTGATGGATGTATTCGAATCAATCCTTATTGTTTATTAAAGAAAAAATCAATCTAAATCTCAATATCTAATCTTCTTTCCAACTTACTCTTTGAACATAAAATCTCAAATCACCTATAAATTTTCCGAACTCTTTTTAACGATTTTGAAAATAAAGATCTTGACTCATTAGCACGTCATAACAATTTAGATTTTTAGTTAAAGTATCTAAAAGAGATATTAATAAATAAATTATTAAGAATTAACAAATGAGAATTTTGAGCTTATATATTAAATTTTGGAATTTTGAAATTTGTTTTATTTATACAACATAGTATTATTTAAAATTTTTAGTGTCCCAAATTTTATTTTCAATTTCTTTTTAAGACCCCATTCCATCTATCAAATCAAAAAAAATTTATTTGATATCTCAACATCAGTTTAGTATTAATATTATAAACAATATTAATTAAATTCTAAAATTATGATGAAAACAAGAATACATCTTGCTTTATTTCATATTCAATTTTTGTTAAAGAAGGATAACAAATTTATTACTATGTCATTAATTCAATAGATAAGTAGGTACAAATAAAATAAGAATTTTTTTATAAATAATAATAAAACCTTATTTGTGATTATAAAGTTAGGCTATGTTCTCATATTGCAAGAAATCCATAAATCTACAAGGCTGTTTTGTTCTTTTGATTGCTGTTTTAAACCTTTAAAACTTTAGATAATATATATAAGTAATTCTATTCATTTATTTTCTTAATTATCTTAAGTATGTTATCAAAAATAAATTAATTAATATTTACAAATTGGGAATTTATATCAAATATTTATTAAATAGATCAAGTGTGAATAATTTTATATATTCATTGAAAATTGAGAAAAAAAAGGTTGCCAAGAAAGTGTTTTATAAGTTTATTCTTATGTAATTTAGTATTTTTAACTCAAAACAAGATTGAAACAATTCTATCAAAATTTTGTAAAATAGGACCTTTGTATAATTATAATTCATTCTTAATTAATTTTACTAAATAAATCAAAAGGCATTTCTAAAAGAATATTTTCATTTTCTAAATATACACTTCCACTATAGTTGTCTTAGTGAATACTTTCAAGTTTTCCTATTTTTCCTCTATGCTGTCCTTCCTTCAAAATCATTACTAAGTTTCCAATCTTAGGTATGACTGTTTAAAGGAATTTCTAATCAATAATAACTTTTTCTTTAGTACTACTTTAAATTTCAATTAACCCACCAAATTAATCAATAACTCTTTTAACAATTCCTTTCTTTCCATAGTATTTTCCATTGTTTAATTATTTATCTATAATTTTTACAAAAATGTTTTCTTTAATCCATGGAAAATCATCGGCAACTTATTCTGGTATTTACAAGGGCTAGCTTACTGTGTTTTAATTATTTTTATACTTGATATTTTAATATAATTTCTCCATATTTTCCTTCAAACCTTATTATTTAAGAAGACTTTCTTCTATCCACTATTTATTTCCTTAATTCTCAACATCCAAAACAATTTGACTGTCTTTTTTATTCCCCTAATTGAAAGTTATATCAAATGATATAAATTATTCTTATGGCTATGCTTCAATTTAATTGTTATTAATTTTTTATTCTGAAAATTTTAAATCCACAGATTCTTAATTATCAGTATCTTATTCATTTAGTTTTTATCCTTTAATGATCTGCTTTTCTAATGATTTATCAATTAAAGCATTTTATTTTTCAACTAACTTAACTTTTTTTGTTTCTACTTTATCATATTTTATTTTTTCTGGGTTGAAATTCAGATTCCAAATTACAATATCTCCTTGAGAATGATCGAACCCAATTTTATTATTTGAAATCAAATATTAAATGAAATCTGCTAATTTAGTCCATTTTGTTCCATTTAAATGTACATGATCTACTTTTCTAATCATATCTTCGTAAACTTTATTGGAGCCGATCTTTTAATCTTTATATTTTTCTTTTAATATCTCCATAAAAGCTGTTTCAAATTCTTAACTAAATTATTCAATATAAAAGTCAGGATCTTCATTATAAAGCCGCATCATTTTCATATGATGACCTGAGTTTAAATGACAACGAAATCCATTTTCATCATAACATTATTTTCTACACATTTAACAAAAGAATTTCAATTTTGCAGTCTTGGTTGCTTATTATTTTCCATATGTTTAACTATACATTATTATTTTTATTAATATTCGTTTTAAATGAAATTAATGCTCTGGATTATAGTGTTTTTAGGTATTGTGCAAGCGATTCCTAAAAAGCAAATATAGATTCATACTAAATTCAATACTCCTATTAATGCTCAAGATGTTAAATTAAGTGAAGTAGATTTAGCACTTTACTAAAATGATATGCAATAAATTGGTTAAAAGAATCATTTGAATACTGAAATTACAAATTGGATGCAGGCAAAAACAAGTATGTTAGAATAGATGACTATTTTTTACAATAACCTTTAAATATTTTTGTCTTTGTAATAATAAATTGGAATTTTATTGGTTTGTGTGATATGCTTTGCATTTTATTTAATGGTTAAATCAGAAGATTAAAATATCAAATAGAGAAAATAGAATACAAAAAAGAAACAAGATAATTCTTAACAAGAAGTAATAGTACAAATATTAACTGAATCTCTACTTGTAAAAGAATAGTTTCCACTTCCATAAGTTTCAACCATAAATGGATCTCTTCATTTCGAAGAAAGAGTGTTTTTATTATAATTAATATTTTTAGAAATAAATCAGCTGATTAAATGAAAAACAAAAAGTAATTTACTCCACTTAAACGATCAAATTCTCAGCCAATTATTTAACCAAATTTACCTGATTATTCTGCAGAAGAGATTAATAGTTTATTAAAGGACATTGACTGATCATCTAAGTAATATCATATCGATATAAAGAATGATAATTATGCATATTCCTTTTGTAATATAATATTTCTTGAATATTTTTCTTATAAAAATTTTTTTAAAAATGATTAAATTTTATTTAAAAAATATTAAATGGTGAACGTACCAAAGAATAGAAAAACCTACTGCAGAAAATGTGGAAATCATTAAAGTTGCAAAGTTTCCTAATATAAAAAGAGCAAGGAAAGTCCATTTGCATAAGGTAGAAGAAGGTACGACATGAAACAAGCTGGTTATGGAGGCTAAACAAAGCCAATTTTCAGAAAGAAAGCAAAGACCACAAAAAAGGTGGCATTAAAGTATATATATTTAAAGAGGATAGGCTTGAATGCGTCAAGTGCAAATTAAAATGGTTAAAAGTTATTAAGAGATGTAAGACTATCGTCTTTGTGGATGCTAATTAGCTCAAAAAACAATAAGAAGCAAAGAAGAATGCTAAATGAGATAATAATAGTATAATCAGTCATATATTAAGTATTTTATTAAAGAATTAATATTTATAAAGCTAAGTTAAATTTTACTCTAATTCTCTTTTGTAGATTTATAAATAATATATATAAAATCTATGTTACTTTTTTCTTAATAATGATTTATATTTCAAAAAGGCTTTTGATATCCTTATTGAGGATAACCTGGATAACCAGGCTATTAAGGGTATCCAGGTTAAGGTGGATAGCCAGGCTATTATGGGTATCCAGGTTATTAAGGAGGATAGCCTGTTTAAGGTGGATAGCCTGGTTAAGGTGGATATCCTGGTTATTAGGGTGGATATCCTGGTTATTAAGGTGGATATCCTGGTTATTATGGTGGGTATCCTGGCTATGGTGGATATCCTGGTTATGGTGGATATGGTTGTTATGGATATCCTTATGCTGGATATCCTTATGGAGGATAGCCAGGCTATTAAGGTGGATAAGGTTATTAAGGTGGATAGTTTGGTTATGGAGGATATAATGGCTATTATGGATAAGGTTGGTTTGGTGGATAATATGGTTGTGAGTAACCAGGCATCATAGGTGGTTTAACACCACCATCAGGAAAGAACTAAACATCGATTAAAACCTATCCAGCAGATTTACCCTATATATTAAAACTAAATATACTTTATAAGTCAGGGTAACCCATTCAGTTCCATTTGGTTTTGTGAAATATGTTTATAAAGCCAATGATCCTTGACCTATCAAGTCATTTTTGCTAACTTCATCTTTATCCCAAACCTCTACATCAGCAATAAGTTCTGAAGTTCTGCGGAATGAAAGAGAATCACTCCATGATGGGTACTTACCAGCATCTGTATGTGAGCGAGTTCTTTAAGTTTAACTTCCTACTCTAATTAAACAAAATGGATCCATTCTTCCAAATGTTTCAGTATCGTGTGTCAATTTTGCACTTAATGGCTTTATTATTAGTGTTCCAGACATTATTTAAATTAATAAAAATCATATATAAAACTTAGTGTTATTTGAATATCAAAAAATGTTGTTACTAATATAATTATTCTTTTTTTCAAATACTCTCTAAAATATCAGTCTAAATTACATATATCAATTTCTTCTATGATTAATAATAAATAGATAAGGATTCCAATTTTTTGCATAATAATTTTTTACAGTGACATCCAATTCTTAATTTTAGAAGTATATTATTTTAAATCAATATCTAGAGTATTTATATCTCAACCTATTGAATTAAGATTGTATTATTGAAAGATTTCTCTTATAATACTTGATCCCTCATAAATAGTTTTATAATATCAATTTTTACTCTTTATCAAAATGAATTATTAGATCTTCATATTTTATTATTGTTTCTAATTAGAGGTCAGTCAAAGTGAAAGCAATATTTAAGTCTGTTTTTTTATCATAAATTGTATAAATTATAGGGCATGTTCTAAAACTAGCTTTGTCAATAATTTTTTTAGATTTCAATTTATTAACACTGTAAATTTTTAATATGTTTTATTTTTCTAAATATATTCAGATATCAAATCATTTAATATAATTTGAAGTTGTTTGCTTATTAGTTGCTTAGTAGTTTCAATTCTACAGCCTTCCTAGACTTTTTGTATTTTCCAACATAAACCATACAATTAAATTAAAATCTAAATTATATCTATAAATGTACCTAATTAAAGACCCTTATTTAGCAGATTTTAAGACTTCTTTACTCACTCCAGCTTTTTACAAATCATCTAAATGAACAAAAATATCTGATTTATCTTCATCCATAACAATAAATCCATAATTTTTTTATTCATCAAAAAACTTTAATCTTCCTGTATAAATTGGATTAGCCATTTATTTTTTTAAATCAGTTTGTTGTAATTTATTCGATGGTGGACAACTTGTTACTGAATTCAATTCCAGCGGAGGAAACATATCAAAATCATCAGGATCAGGTATTGTTTCTTCATACTTCTACTAATAAATATCCTATGTTAATTGTTAATCAAATTAGTTTATATATGTCAAACGCTTCCTTTATTCTTCTGGAAATGAATTATCACTTTTATTTGAGTTTTTCTAATCTAAAGAAGGGAATTGGTAATCATCCTAAAGTAATGATTATTGTTTGACTTAGGAAAAATAAACTATTTTTGATTGATTTAAATACAAGCTTAATCTTAATGAATAGATTGCATTTATGCCAATATCTGAGATTGCTTTTAGTCTCTTTAAAAATCAAACATTTAATGTTCAGATAAAGACTTTTTATGTCTTCTGATAAGAGGTTTTTATTACTCTTTCTCAGGAGTCATATTGATTATGGGAATTGAAATCTAAAATGATGGATATTTTTACATCCTCAAATAACTCATCAAATGTGTAATAACTTTCTTATTCTTTATTATCTATTTAAGATAGCATTTATTCCATCGCAATCAAAGTTATCATCTAGTCAGTTTTAACTAGTGCAACATAACCAGTAAGGGAAGGATTATAACAAAAAATATTAATAGTTCTAATAAACTTCAATGGGACATAAACATTACAAAACAACTAAAACTTAGAGTTTGTATAAAATTCCTTAATTTTGGTTTTCATAACTGTTGCATAAAGTGACAAATATTACTATATTATGTGAAGATTTTACTTTAACATTCAATAATTCACTTTCTAGAATAGAAATTGTAAATTCATATCTTTACATCAATTTTGGTAATTCTTAATCAGATTTATAAAGTTCCTTGGCTATTTTTAGTAAATGCTCCTTAATTTATTAATCTGGATTATAATAATTTGCAATCGATAGTGTGTCCAATATATGCATACCTGATGAACTAGAAATGAGTCAAGATTCAATACCAGTATTTCCTTTATAAATTAGAGAGTGCAGATTATTATCATTCAAAGTTTACTTCTATTAAAATATCATTATTTAAATTATTTATATATTTTATTATTCACATTTCTTCTAAATCGTCATCATCATCATCATCATCATCTAAATCTTTAGTCCCACTCATTAAAATATTATTAGTTCTGATAGATCTATATGATTGATTTTAACTATTAAGCTTTTAACTAAATCTACTTTATCTTAATGAAATATTATTATTTTATTTTTTCAATTCTGAATGTTTTTCAACAATCATCTCTCTCATATTTTAGTCTAATTAAGATAATTATTTAGTCAATTCTTTATTTTCTTTTTTCAATCTATTCAATTTTTTTTGCCACTCCACTTCATTATTTTCTAATTAATCAATTGTCATTTTAAGATTGTTACACTCTGTTAATAAAGATCTTTTTTCATGTTGTAAAGAATTTACTTAAGCCTAAACTTTATTAAATTTAGATTCCAGATCATCCATTTATTTTTCTGATAATTCAACCATCTTTTCTATCATATACTCATTTTATTTTTATTCAACTTTACTGTCATCTACTAATTGCTTTAATCTTTGATTCTCTTATTAAATAAATTGTAAATCTTAATTTGTGCGATCTAAATGTTGAATCGCAGCTTAAAGTTGCTATTACAATTACGATATCTATTTATTAGATTGAATTTACTTCATAGTCGGCCTGTTATAATTATTCATTCATTTAAATGTTATTAACTTTCATTCTTTCTAATTCATTTGAAACATTTGAACTTTTAATATAGTTTTTATTTTTTACTTTTATTTCTCCATTACAGGCATTTCAGGTAATATTTTTCCCAATTGGCTTTCTAACTACTTTGATAAATTATATAATTAATCATTGTCAGCTTCTAATTTTAATTTATCCATTTTCAATTAATTGTTATCCTGTTAGAGATCTTTTATATTTTTCTTATATTGTTGCAATTTATTTTTATATTTATTTTGTAATTTATCTAATTCTTATTTCAGATAAGCATTTTCAGTCTCTAATTTAGTTCTAAATTTTGAATATTTATTTTCCAATTATGCTAAATCTTTCAAAATATCGTCATTTTTTTTAACCTTAACTTAAACTTAATCCTAAATTTCTTTATTTCTATTCTTTTCCTCTTCAATTCTATTCTATTAATCTTCAACAACAGCATTTAGTGTTCTAATATTTTCCTCCAATTATACTACTTAATCATCTCTATTTCTTAATTCTCTTGAAAGATATTCTAATTCTTCATATAATTTTTTATTTCTTTCTTATTCTTATTTAATAAGCTTCATAAAATCATCTTCTCGTTTTTCATAATGTTTAATATTCTTAATCTCATTTTCCTTTATTACTTCAATATCTTATTCTTAACTTCTTATTTTTGCTTTTAACATTTAATTATCTTCAATTGCATATCTTAATTATTAATTCAACTCACGTTATTCTTCAGAGCTTTATGGATAAAAATTATCTTTTGATTTGGCAGTTAAATACATTAATAATAATTAAATAATCTGAACAAAAAATTATATTTATCATTTTTTTATCTATATACGATCAAAAATAGACTCTTTTACATCCATTCTAAGTCTTCCATCATCCTTACTTCTATTTCTGTCAGAATATTATCCTATCACTATTACTTTATCATTTTATTTAAAATTTGGCACAGCTCTCCACTCTTAATTCTTATCCTTACTGTTATTTATCTATTCTAAATTAAGATAGTATATCAAAATAATCAATACCTATAGCATTTTCTGCTGAAACTTAATTTGAAAATGTGATTGTAGCCTGTTTATTATTAATCTAAAATTAAAATTATAAATTACACTAACTCCTAAAATATTCGAATCATCATCAATCAACTCTCTAAGATCCTATTAATTTGTATATTCTTTCAAATTTCTGATAAATATTGAATATGAACCATTTTGTTTTACTTATTATTCTATCCATAATACTTATATATCTCACCATCCTTTTTAGTTATATTAAGAATTCCTTTCTTCTTGTTGACTTATTAAGATTAAACTCTCCCTGATTGACCAGTATTTTAGATCATTATTACTTTTTTTGAAATAGGCTTCTTCATAATTTAAGTTGAACGAATATTTCCATTCTCTTCTTCAGATTCTTTTCTACTCTATTCTTTCTAACCTGATTACTAAGAAGGCTTATATTCATATTAATGATCTCTTATGATATTAATACTCTTTGAGAATATGTGATTCTTACTCATTAGAATATTATTTATAATATTATTAATTAAAACCTATTTTTGCAATTTTCTGTTTCATATATAAACATGTTCAATTATACAAATAATTCATGCTGTCATTCAGAAAAAATTAGCTATTAGAATTAGAAATAATTTATCTAATAGCATCCTAAATCGAATTGCAGTTTTAAATTACTTATAAATTAAATAATTTAGTATTGATTTTACGAAAATCGTCATATTTTATTAGGACCTTCAAATATGACTCTAAATGTTATAATTCCTTTGATTATATTAATAAATACATTGTCTTTTTTATTATCCAAATAAGGGATTATTGGAATTCCATTCTCAATTTAAAAAGCATATGAGAAAGCGGAATTATCTATTAAGACTACATCTTTCAAGTCTCTATTCAGAATTCTTAAATCTTTTATATGACAACCTGGTTCTATTTCTATGCAATTTTCCCTAAACAATCTACCAGAAATAATGATTCCTTATGGATCCAAATAATTTATAATTTAATTTGCATATTCTTCATTAGAAGCAGTAAATATTATGATTTCATAATACTAGGCCATATTTTTTAAGAATTCTTATGTATATGGTCTAATGCTAATTCCAGCCTAATAAAATTTATTGCTTACTTAATAAATTAGATTATTCACTTTCACTGGAATATAAAAATCTGATTTTAATTATGGATATTCATTACAATGTACTAAGGTCTCATCAAGATCAATAACCAAAGTTTTTTATTTTTCTAATAATTTTATTAAAAATACTTGTTTGTGCTTTTATTTTTTGTGATATTGAAAAAGTTAATGAAATTTGGATTTTTTTTGATTTTTATAAATTCTCGTAGATCTATAAAAAGTGTCTTAAATACATCTAAGACTGAAATGTATCTGTTAGTTAGCCTTCGAGATGCCCAACCAAATTATACATGTAATATTATTTTTATTGAAAATACTCTATAAATACACTTTTATAAAATACTTTGATTTGATAAATCAAGATCTTCAGAGATAAAGGTTTCTGTTGAGGGGTATGAAACGAATTTTTTAGAATGACTTGTTTCTTAATCTTTTGCTTCTTTAGGTTTTTTTTAAAGTTGAAAGATTTTATTGACATTATTTTAATCTTGTTTATTATCTTTTTGTTTTGAACCTTATTTGAGATATTTTTATTATTTTCTAATTTTTTTCTTTAGATGATATGCTCTTCTATGTTTGAGCATTAAAATGCTATATAATTCAATAAATAATACTGAGGCTAACAATTTGATATCTTATTTTAATGAATATCCGAGCCAATAGCTATTTAACTAAAATTATCAATTTCTATTAATTTTTCATCTTATTTTGTTGAAATACTCTTTTAAGAAATGTTTTTTTTCTAAATGAATGCATTTTTGACTTTCTTATTCAATTTTACATGTGTCTTAGTTAGATTTATAAATTTTTCTAGATATATAGAATACGAGAAATACATTAATGTATAATCTAATGATTAGTCAGCAACTCTTAAGACATACGTTTCACATTAAGCTTTTCATCCGTTTACAATTCATTTAAAAGACTCTTTTTTGACTAAATTAAGTTAATAAGTACTTAGTATTCACTCTCTTATAATGAATTAAGAGTGGCATCATTATTTTATTTAATCAACAGTAGTTCTTTCTATTCATTTTTTTACATTCCTAAAATTTATTTTTATATAGGAAATAGTTGAAAATATGAATTGAAGTATAAAAAAATTCAAACGGGGTATTAAAGATTTGAATTATAATACATACTTTAGCAATCTTTCTTTCGGTGCTCAATTATATTATTTTTAGTCATTGCAGATATTTCGTAGTTAATTTCTAGATGATAAAAATTATTTTGTTATTCATATGTTATTTATAATTTCTCTTTAACTAAAAAAATAAGACAACAAACAATAAAATATTTTATTGAGAGTTTAAGATTAAATTATACAATTCTGAATTTCTATTTTTACTTAAATCTTAATTTCGTCATAAGTCCTTTTTACATTTGTTCTGTTGAATAATTACAAGTTATGAATTAATTAAACACATTTGTTATTAAATATTTAGCTAAATATTGTAGATATAGTTAACTATTCAAATATAACAAATTTGATAATTTAACTTAGTTGGTTCAATCTATCCTAGAAATTTCTCGTGATTGATAACCAGAGATTCTCAATATCTTTTGCTTAAGATGTATACTAAATATAAAATATTTTGCATAAATACTAAATTTATGGCAACCTAAATTTAAATTAATAATGTATTTAATTTTGAAAATGGCTTATCAATAGATATGATATTATTATGATGCTCTGATATTCATATGATATTCAGATGGGAATTATTTGAATCCTATTTGATAAACTCTAATGTAACTTTTATAACAATATTTTAACAACACAGCTATCGAATTCATGAAACTATTAAAATTAACAACTTTAATTACTTTGAAGGATATAGTATCAACAACAACTGCCTCTGCTTATTTAGATGAAGTCGCAAAATCATAATGGTTTTTCATGATTTCACCTTTAATATTGCCAAATTTATAGTTCAATTTGATCAAATAAGAATTATTAATTCATAGTTTTCTTTCATTTGAAATTTCATTTTAAATTTCTTGTTTCTATGAATTTTTTTTGATTTTTTTTCGATAATTTACTTTAAAATATTTTTGTTAAAAATTATTTGTCAACTTAGTTTTTTATAATTTGTTAATATTAATGCTTATTGTTAGATCTTGTCTTAAAAATGTATATTGATTAATTTATATAATTATAATATTTTTTTGATGAATTAAAATTCAAGTTTAATCAAGATAAATTAATTAATCTAAGCTATAGGCTTTGGATTATAAAATTTCAAACAAGTTACTTTAGAGTTTTTTTCATAACAAATATTTTGATTTAGCTTAAAAAAGAAAATATTATTTTATTTTACGAATAATAATTGTTATTAATATATGATATAATAATTAATGAAAAGAATAAAAAATTGTAGAATTATAAAATAAAATAATTAATGTTAGATAGCAAACAATCCTATTTAATAAAATAGCCTTTGTAAAAAACATGGGTTTTGTGGTTAGCTTTGGGATTGGCTTGCTTTTTACTATTTGGAGATGCTTATGCATTTGATAATCCAATGGCTTTGCAATCTACAATATAAAGTGAGATGAATTTGAACAATGTACAATTTAATATGCTTTATTCCATCTATTCTGCTCCAAATATCATATTACCTTTTTTTGGAGGGATTCTAATAGATAAGATTGGAGTAAGAGTAAGCATACTCATTTTTTCTTCAATTCTGATATTGGGTTAGACAATAGTAGTGATTGGAGGATATACACTATCATATGGGACAATGTTAGCAGGAAGATGTATATTTGGGATAGGATCTGAGAGTTTGAATGCTGCTTAAGCTGCAATAATGTCACAGTGGTTTTAAGGTGGATAAGTGAGTTTAGCGTTAGGATTGTGTTTATCAATACCAAAATTAGGTAGTGCAATGAATAGTTTTGTTAGTCCTATAATCCAAGCTAATCATGGTAATTTAGGATTTACTTTTTTAATTGGCTTATTTATTGTGATTTTTTCATGGGGATGTGGTGTTGCATTAATTTATTTGGATAAAAAAAATGAATTACTTATGAATATTTGGAAAGAACACAATCCAGTATAAGAAATAAAAGAAGAGAAGAAAGAAGAATTATAAAATTAAGAGATGAGTTTATAAATAAAAAAAAGTGAAACTACAGAAAGTGATTATTCTGAATCTTTATTAACTGAAGATGATGATAATGACGAGAATGATGATGAAGTTGAAGAATAATAGAAGAATGAACATGAAGCTAAAGAAGAAATCAAATTATCAGATTTAAAACATTTAGATGGTTCTTATTGGATTTTATCATGCATTATTATGTTAAGTGAAGCTTTATTTGTTCCTTTCTTAGATAATGGAAATGCATTCTTCTAAATTAAATTTGGTTTCAGTTAATAATCAGCTGGAGTTTTACTCACAATTCCTTATGTTTTTGCAGCCTGTGTAACTCCATTTGTTGGAATTTATAGTGATAAAATTCGTTAACGTTCTCTCCTTATAGTCTTGACTACAGTCATCTTTATAATAACTCATTTGTGTTTACTACTTATTTATTGTGATGTAATTATTTACTTATCTTTAAGAGTGCTTGTGGAGTTTCAGCTTTACCATTACTATCCCTTGGTATTTGCTATTCCTTTTATTCTGCCATTTTAATTCCATCCATTCCACTTGTTGTCAAATCTCAAATGATAGGTATATTAATTTTATTATATAATTTAGGTACTGCCTTTGGATTGTTAGGAGTTATGTAAAATACTGCCTTAGCATTATTTCCATTAATTACTGGTAGCATATATAATAGTCATCTAATTAATTAGTAAGGTCAATTAGATCCTTTTTAAGGGTACTAATATTATTTATAACTTTAGGTATGTCTATCAATCTTATTTTTTTGTTGGAGTTAGTTGTTTTAATTTTGTGATTGCTATAACTCTATATTTGTTTGATAAAAATGGAAGCAAAAAGTTGAGTAGATTAAAGTCTAAGAGTAAATGAATGTTTATAGTGTGTTATTTTCTATATTAATTAAATATGAGTAATCGAAATAAGAGTTTGGCAGAAAGAAGAAATTCGAAAAGTAAGTGTAAGACCGCGATCTCTCAACGCAAAAACTCTGATTGTGAAGATTATAATTTCTATTAAGAGTTCTAGTTATTCTATCCCTAAGCTTAGGAGATAAAGTTTACTAAATTTGAATACATGAAGGAGTTCTTTAATTTAGGAATCAATGAATTTCCATCTGATGAAGAAATCTAACGTATCCAACAAGAGATACTAACAACTAGTGGTTGGAATACAAATCTTAAAAAGAATTGGACACTTAATGAGAAGAAAGTTCTAATTTGGTTGGTTGGAAAATTTAGTATAATGAGAAATGAGGACATAAGAGACTTATCATCAGAATTATTTGAAGAGATTTCAAGAATGATTTGTAGAAGAGATAAGGATCAATGCAAATAGAAATGGTCTTAAATGCAAAAAATTGCACTTCAATAATAACCTTTTAAGGCAGAAGAAGATAAAAAATTATACGATATTATTGTATAATATTAATCAGTAGATATGGGTTAGAAGTGGAGTTAAATAGCATAAGAATTAAATTAACATTCAAATATTTATAGATCAAGTAAATAATGTAGAGAAAGATGGCTTAATCATTTGAATCCAAAGATTTCTAAGTAATATAAAATATTAATTTTTATTTAAGGTAACCTTGGACTGATGATGAGGACATATTATTGCTGAATCATGTAAAAGATTAAGGAAGGAGATGGGCAGAAATATCAAAAATAATGGATGGAAAGAGGAGTGAGAACAATTTAAAAAATCGATTCAATAGTTTAATTAAAAGGGAAAAGGATTTACCAGTGTTGTAATTATTTGATACAAATAATAATAGATAGACTTAAAATGGATCAGCAACTAATTTGGATGATTTGTTATCAGGTTGCACTGGACCAGAAATAACTGATCTTTAAAGATAAGCCATTGATGTCTTGTTATCCAAGTTAAAATGGAGAAGTGCCGAGAGTTAGAATAAAAATATAAGGAAGAAATCAATTGAGCTTACTGAAAATGTAGATAATTAAGTAAAGCGACAATTTTAATAGCGAACCTAGATAACTGCCCAATATACTATAGGAAATTTAGAGTAAGAATCAAATATTACAGAACTAACTCCTTGTTTAGTAAATGTGAGCAAAAACATTATTTATTTTTGCACTTAAGAAATCTTGATTTAATATTTAGGTTATCAATAATAGTAACAGCAACAATTTAAAGATCAATTTGATAAAATTAAGAATGAATTATGTGCTTTTGATATTGGATTTTAGAATTTCAAATCTACACTCAGTATGATAGAAGAGATTGAAGAACCTCTTAAAAGTTAAACAAACTTTCAACCAAATGATTTAGATGCATTTTTTAATTTAGAAACCCCAGAAACAGTTTCCAAACCTATTTATGTAAATTCTCTTGATATGATTACAAATTCTGCAATCAAATATTTGTAGCGTTGGAAGACTGAGTGTTAATTTAATGATTAGCGAAGATCAAGCATAACGATACCGAGATCACTTCCAAATTTGATATAAATTTAATAATGAAAATAAAAATTCTGATATTATTAATCATTTTACCTATAATTTTATTACCATGGGACGAATCCATTCAACCATACAATAAAATAAATAAGATTATCAACAATTTAGATTAATTATTGGATCAATTATCATTTAATGAAAATTTCCTAATTATGGTTATTCGAAATATTTAATTTAGAGGCATAAATATGTTAACTTATATTGATAATTGGTTTGAAAATGTTTTATTATTTCAACCAATAAAAGAAATTTAAAAAAACTTACCATCAGCACAAAATTTTGCTAATAAATTTGGGGGAGCTATAATTCTAACTAAAAGTAATGCTCTATAATAAATTGATAATGTTTTAGTTGATTCAGTTGAATTGTATAAATTTATATCAAATACTAGATATATGATAACTGAATGTGATTAAAAAAATGTGTTTTTCATTGTATGTTTACAAGAAGAGATTTCTTTAGAAATAATAACTATTATTAATAAAGAACTATATTCATCAACTATTAAAAATTTTTAAGTAATCAACTCTAATAACTTTTATTAGGTTTATGGAAGTGTAGTATATCCTACAAAGGAATGGGAACTTTTAGGTAATTTTTTAGCTGAGGACTCTAATGAATGGTAGATATTCAATTTTGATTAACGATTTCTTAGATATTTAAAAATACATATTATAGATTTCCATACTGCAGAATTTCATTGCACTTTAACTCAAATTAGGTATATTTTTTTTGATATATAAATTAGAGTTTTTGGATAAACTGTTATTGGAGATTTGATTGATTCTCACAAGAGAGAAAAGATAATTAAACCAGAAAGTAAAATTGTTAATTCAACGTAAGAGAAAGAAGAAATCAATTTAAATGAGGTTTCAGAAGAAGATGATGGATCTATAAATGATACATGTTCTGTTGCTGATTATTTTTACATTAATCAAAATGATAAAAGAATTGAAAGTAAATATATTAATGTCTTGCCTTTTGAATCAAAACAATCTTTATTTAAAGTGACTGCTCAAAATATTTTAATATTGTCTCATAATGTAGAATTGTTTAAATATGAAATTAATTAAATTAAATAATAGAACTAAAAGGATTAAAAAGAATAAGATGAGATCAAATTATCCTAATCGTATTTATTTTAATAAATTTCAGAATTAAAATTAATTAATCAAAAATTAGTTGACGAATTAAATTAATTATAAAAAAATCTATTTTTAAGTTTATTTTGTATTATAGCAATAGCAGCAGTTATAACAATAATTTTATTAATACATTGTTTTTGTAATTAAGATAAATAATAATAAATTATGTAACAAACAAGAGTAGGTAAAAAAAATAGCAGTGCAATAGTTAAATCATAACCATAATTGTTGAATATTTGTGGAAATGAAAATTAAATTACGTAAAAAAGTAAAATAAATTAAATATAAAACTAAAAAGGTAAATAAAAAAAAGCAAATTGATTTTAAAATATATATTTTTATGTATTAAGTTTAAATGAATCAACCTAATTTAATGTTCAAAAATAATATGTAGAATGCAGTGTAGATGCCAAATCTTGCAGCAATTCCATACACCAAGACTGATGAAAATTTAAGTAACTAAACTTAAATGATACTAAATTACTTTTCTTGCATAAACCATAACCATATGCCAAACAATTGATAATACTCCTAATAAAACACAATATTGCCATTCTACAATTGAACTAGTTATCATCATTACAAGTAATGCAAAATGTAAACCAACAAATAATGCTGCAATCCATCCAGATGGAAGTGTTTTAATCATAAAATCTATATATTTAAAATCATTATATACTTCTCCAAAAATATTCCTCCAATATTCCTAGACCAATTACAAATAATACCATAAATAATACCATATAAGATGTATTTTATTCATCAAAGTATGATTTATAAATATTAGTGTTTTATGTAGAGAGAAATAGAATAGTGAGAGTAAAAAAAGATATAAAAGTTATTAGTGTCGATAAAATCAAAAGTTATGTATTCTCCTTTTTGAAGATAAATTCACCCTCATTATTTTATTTATTATACCTGCCATGTAAAATTCCAAAACTCTTTTTCCTTAAGCCATAAAGAAAATATAAAAATATATCACTAGAATTATTAACATCATGTAAGTTAACAAACTTAACAATGAAGATGTTGTTATAGAAAGAGCTATTCATTATTAAAATTTCAAACTTATCCATGGAATTGCTATAAGTCCTAACATTGCCAATTCTAGATAAACTTATTGACAAACTGATAATCCTAATGGAGGAACATCATCTACTGGATTTGTGACTGTTGCTAAATCATAACTAAGGTTCATTCTTTAACTGTAAAAAATATTTTATATTAATGAATTTATTTGATCACATAATAATTATGATGCTATTCTTACTTCGTATTAATTAACTTAAAACCAATGTAGTTAAAAACGAAATCCATTAAATATTTTCTAATACAATTGTAAAAACATAAAATGTCTCTTCATTCATCATTCGGCTATGATAGTCTTCGCTCAGTGATTTTTGCCAAAGCTATTAAAAAGTGTGAATGTACTATTCAACGTTAATATTATAGAAATTTAAAATGAGTATTATTCATCAGAAAGTTGTTCTGATATTAAGAGTAGCATCTCCTCTGATTCAGAAAAGCATATATATGACAGGTATTATTACAATTTATCTTATTTTTAGAGAATTTGCTTCAGAGTCTGCTGAATCAAAAATTGTCTTCAATAATCAACAATCTCCTCTCTCTTAGTTTAATACTCAACAATGAATATAAATAAATAAACAAATATACAAAAATACATAATCATTCATTCCAACTCTTTATATTATCTCTCAAGGATACAAACTCTATTATTATCATATTTCATTTTCTTTTTAACTAAAACAGTTATAAGATAATGAATATCATTCTATTCAGAATATTTTGTTCAAATTCAACGTAGAATGTTATTATACAAAACACAAAATATTTCTATCCATATTTAATTAAATTAAGTCCTTTTAATAAGATAAATTCTTAATAAATATTATTATATAAATTGTTTCATTAAAATATTCAGCATTTTTTTTATTTTTGAAAAAGGATTCATTCAAAATCAAAACAATAATAAAATTTATTGAAATATTATTTCAAATTTTTTTAAAATATTCAAACATTTTAATACAAATGTTCTATTTTTAATTTTAAACTTATAAAAACAACTTAAAAAATATCATAATCATGACAGCACATTATTACAGAAACAATTTTTTTTATTTTTTTAATCAATAATTCACTAAATTTGAATTGAATTTCATTATTTTAAATCCTACTCTTTCATCATTATATTCTGATTAATCATTCAAAATAAATCAAATTTTATTAATAAAGTTCAAATTCTCTCATGTCTTCGTAGTATATTGAAAATTAAACTCAGATTTATCTCTTTAATAGGTAGAGTGTTATAGAAATTTTCATTCTCTAATTTTAAATAATATTTTTGCTGTTAAAATTTATTAAAATAGCAAGCAAATTGATTTTCTATTTAATGATGTATTTATTTAAATTCATCAATATTGTATGTTAAAATTAAAGAATTAATTCTTTCTATCTTATTTTAATGTATCAAAATCATATCATTTATTGATAATTATTATCTAAAATAATTGGGAGCAATCATAAAAAAAATAATTAAAGAGTTAATTATCTTTAAAATATTTAAAAATAGTTCACGCAACATATGTTAAGATACAAATTTGATTATGATATTGTAAATTAGCTATAACAAAAGTATAAGAGGAAATTTGATTTAGAAAGGATTTTCAAATTTAAAGAAAAATATTTAACAATTAATAATATAATATTTATATAATTAAAAACTCTTTTCAATTACCATAGATGTTGATTTATTTATCAAAACTACAACTATATATATTTTTATTAAATTCAGCAAATCTACGTTAAATAAAAATCTTACTTAATAGCAGTCACAATATCTCTATGACTTTCGAATTTGAAAAACTCTTATTACTTTTTGATATCAAACATATGTATATTTTTATTTTCCCCTACAGCTAAATAGGCACCTGAAGTATCATAAGAAATGCTACCTAAATAATATAATAGAATAATAACTTATTTTTTATGATTCCAACAATTTTTAAAATTAACCAGGATTTCTTAGATCCCATTGAAAGACTTCAGTTTAAGTGGCTGATGCTAAATTAACTCCATTTTCAGAGAAAGTAACCTAATTTATAGATCCCTAAGATTTTTATTCTATTGATATACTTCTTATCCTTCAAATTAGGCTACTAATTATCCAGATGTTATTTTCCAAATTTTAATTAATGAATTTGCTTAACCAATTGCTATTAATAATCCATCTGGATGAATAGCAATAGATGTAAATTAACATTAACCTTCAAAATCAGTAACTTTACTTATTTATAAACCAGATCTTAAATCATAAAATAATAGTAATCCTTCAAAGGTGACCAGAATAGCAATGAAGCCAAGTGGATGTATTGCTAAACTAGTAATATTTTATCCAACTTTTATAGTGGAAGTTACAACACCTTAAATAGTTTCTGTGTTGAATTAATAAAGAATTAAATCTCCATCTGAATTTGATGAGACAAACCTTATGTGTTCATCTGTTGTGAAAAACTTGATTGAATTAATTCTTTGATTATTTTATTGATTTTAATAAACAAGAACTTAAGAATGATAAAGTGAAACTAAACCAGTTTAACCTCCTACTACCATATAATTTGATTAGATGTCTAATGAAGTACTACCCTATGTCTAAGTATATTATTATTTAATTTCATAATTAGACAAAATCTAAAATATATGTTAAGAATACTTAAGGACTGGGAAATTAATCAAAGTAAGATTATTGCTTTCTCAATAATTTTCTTTGACTTGTTAATTTTATTGCATTTTATTCTATTTCAGAAATATAATTAGTAGGTAATTTTTCTGGAATATTATTAGTTTCTACTTCTACTTTATTATTTAATTTATGTTGTAATTGCGCTAATTCTATTCTAGCTTAATCTCTTTCTTTTATGAGTTTTGCTATCACACGACATGCAGCATCATGTTAATATAGAGCATGTGTTAGTTCATGTCTTACTTATTCCAAATGTTGTTTCAATTAAAATTGCTCTAATAATAAAGCATCCCATTCATTTTACAAAAGTGAAAGCAATGAAGGTATTGATGTAGCTGTAATTGGTCTAGGTTTTTAAACTTTAGCTACTTTAACCTTTATATTTGAAATTTTAATTATACTTCTATTAGATCATCTATATTCAAAGGTCTTCCTGTTATTGGACATGTACCTGTACTTTCGATATGCTTCTCAATCAATCTTTTTTCATAGATATGTCCACTCACTTTAGATATTACTGGTGTTTCTATCAATTCACCAGATAATGCACAAGTTTACCAGGATTACATAAATTTATGATATGAATTTATTTGAATATTTTAATAAACTTATGTTAATCATCATTATTTTGTAATTTCTGTCTTAAGATTGTCAAATGAATCAACTGGAACATATTATGCAAGAGTGTAATACTTTCCTTTTCCATCATCTTCTTCCTTCTTCTTTCTTTGTAATCTAACCCTAATCCTTCTTGGTAAATTACGAATTCCTCTTGCCCAAATAGCTTCATTTAATTATGGATCGACTCTAACATCATCAGTTAACATATTTTTCTAAGCTAAACAATCCTTTCACTTTTTACCAAATCTAACAATATGACTGACTGCTCTAGGTGCCTTTCTTTTAAAAGTTTCCTTATGAACAGCTTTATGAAGATTTATTGTATAGTCCCTGCTTACTTCACCTAAAGGATTAGGCTTTCCCTTTTCTTTCTTTCCCATTAATTAAAATCTTTAAAAATTAATTTTAAAAAAGTAAGCAAATGATCATGTATTTTATTCATAAAATTTGAACTGCCAAACCATCCTGTAGATAAATTAACTTACACTTCTAAACAACCTCTTAATTTTATTTATTTTCATTCATCTATAAATTAACCTTCATGATGTAATTTAACAATAACTACACAATTCTTCTGAGCAACAAATAATTTAACCAAACATGGTCTAAACCTATGATTAATTATGGACAATCAGCATGACAACCCTAAAAAATACTCATTATATTGTAGAAATATTAATTTTTGTTAGTTCTTGTGCTAGAGATATGTTTTATTAAAAACCCAAAGTTTCCACCTCTTTTTTTTACGATTCTAAGTCTCCTTAACTTAGTGTGTACTTTAGACTTATCTTTAATTTCATATTTTGATTATGAAGAATTTAGAGTAGAATTGTTTATTTATGAGAATTTTTGCAAAATGACAAGGTATTACAATGTTCCAGCCATTGATAATATCTAAAACTTTATACATTAAGGAAATCTAATAAAAATTACTAAATTTTAAGTATCAATAATTAAAAAATACAGAAATCATAATTCTTTGCTTGAATATTTTAGACTGGAGAGTGAAGAGGGATCTTGAGTTCCAATGAATAATTTTTTAACATATTTCAGGATAATTTCAGAATCTCCAATTTTAGTAGACATCAGTATATCCTAAATAATTTAAAAACTAGAAAGGTATTCTTTGCATAAAAGTCTTGCCTATTCATTTGAAAAAAGGACCTTTAAATCTTTACGAGTATAATTCTTTTTATTATTAACTTTACTAATGAACTTTTTTATAGTAATATTCTATCTAACAACATCTTTATAATTATTGACTAAAATTAAAGTTATAATTACTAAAGTAATTCTTGATTAATACTCCCATATTTTTAGGGACATTTTTTGCTTCTTAATGATTTTTGTTATTTCCTTTTTAAGTTTGTTTTGAGACTTAAGTAAATTATTAATTCTCTTGGTCAATTCTTGAATAACTTTCTTCATAGTGGCTTTTTAATTCTAAATTACTCAAAGTAAAAGTAGAGCGATTATGATCTTCAAATTCTAAACAATATTCAGACAACATAATAAAAAAATAATTAATTTTCTTAAAATATAATTCCAACATAATAATTTTAATTTGGAGAATATGAGCATGCAAATTAGATAATAAAATAACATTAAAATATAGAAGTAGATTTAGGAGAAGAATTAAGAAGTGAATAAATAATGAAACATGTATATTTGAATGGTTAATTTAGAAAGTTTTTAATATAAAAAAGATATTAAATTTATGGTTTATAAGATTAGAAATAAGTCATTTTTCTGGACAAGAGCTGGATGGAAAAATAATTGGCATCCTAAAAATTTTAATGCTCCTAGACCATCAAGTTCAGAATTCACAATTGGTATTAGATGTCGTTATGATCATAATTCATTTTTGAGAGGTAATGAAATAAATTTAAATTTTATAGCTTATCATTCATACAGAAAGATCTCAAGACATTGTAAATAGTATTTCTTTGGTAACAAAGAATTAGAGGAATTATTTTAGATGGGTTTGAGAACATTTTTTATAGTACCACACATAGCTGAATGTTAAGTGACTCAAATTAAACATGGTGGTGAAAGAAGAATGGTAGATTAAATTGATAGAGACTTTGAATTAGTATCTTACAATTCTCATCCATATTAATTGTTTACATATACAGTTTGGAATTAATATTTAGCTAATCAATAAGAAGCTTATGAATAAAGAAAGAATGGAGGTCAAGCTATTGAAGATTAAGTAATTGATCACATAAGGTATTATATATATGATAAAATATAAAAGTGAATTGGTGAAGGATGAAAAGGCTAAATTAGGAGCAGGAAAGTAATTAAGTATAGAGAGAACAGCAGAGATTGTAATGAATGTAATGAGACAATTAAGAGCAGCCTAATAGAGACCAAATCTTAATAATAGGTATAGATTTTGTATTTATAGAAAAGACGTGCAGATGGAGAATTTGATGATTTTCTTGAATAAAGAAGACCATTCACAGCACCAAATAACTAATCAGCTACTCATTGAGTTGATTATATTAAAACAATGTATAAAAACTTATTAATTATATTATTTATGTATAACTTCAATATTGTAAAGCTTCTTAGGCATAAAATTTAACATCTCTATCATTATCATCAATCAATTCATTTATTGCTCTATATTAATATGAAAAAGTATACTATTTTATTTGATTTAGTGTTCCTTGATGATCAATCCTTTTTGATAATGATTTTGCCACCCTAATACTAACAAATTTAATATTAGGAACATTATCTTTTAAACATTTATGAACAATAGGCCATAATTTATCTTAAATCATTGGTCCATCAGCCACTTATCCAATATGTTAGATTGCATATAAGGCATTTATTCTGTACAAGAATCCAGTATCCTTATTAAGAACTTCTAAACATTTAGAAAAAAAGCTTCCCAATGCCCAATCAATTTTGTAAGTTTAAATTAAGTCATTCAATCTACATAAACCTATTGTTCTCACTTCAGCAGCTCTATCCTTCAAAAACAAAACATAAACAGGTTCTAATTATTTTAAAAAGACATCTATATTTTTAATTGTTCTTAAATAATAAATTATAAATACAAAGCTAATTGAATAACAGTTTACATTGTTTCTTTTCTAACTCTCCATTTTGGATCCTCCATACTTTTTTTTAAATGAGGTATAAATTATCCTATTGCATCAGGACCAAGAGCAGCAGCGAATACTCCAACTGATTATGCTGCATTCTTTCTTACATCTTGATTATCATCTCCCATTAATTCAATTAAATATGATTGTAATTTGCTTTAACTATTATCACGAGGTAGTATTGTAGCTATCTATCCAATTACTAAACAAGCATTCTCTTAGTATTATCAACATTATATACATACATTTCACTTATGCAAATGCATCTTTAGCTAATAATTATAGTAAAGGAATTATTAGGGTAAGTTTCTCTGGAGATACATACTTAATAAATTTAGCCAAACTTTTAACTGCTATTACTCGAACATCACTTTCAGGATCTTTTAATAAATTAGAAAATATCTAAATTAATGAAGAGTCAGCAATCTCCTTGCCTACTGCTTCTGCTAACTATATAATAATCTTAAAACTAGTACCTCTGCAAATATCTTTGACAATGCTAATCTTACTCTCCATGATTTATCTTCGGCTGAAGATATTATCAATGGTAAGATATTTGTTTTATTCTCATTAATATTTAGAATCTTAGCAATATTCATAATGCTTTCCATACATAATAATCTAACTTAATCCTACTCATCTTAACATAATTATTTCAAAACAGCTATTAAAACTTCAATAACATGATTCTTATCCATAAATTATGCAATCTCACCAATTTTAGATGCAACTGCTCTTCGAACCATTGGTGTTTCTTCACTACATAATTCATTAAATTTTCTTAAAAATTTTATCTAATAATTAATACTATCTCAATTTTTCTTTCTAATTTCCAGATCTTGCATACATAGGACACATTAAATTTACAGCTGAAACTCTACAAGTAAAGTTGGCTTCATTTGATGCTAATTTTAAAATCTAACAATATACAAAAACTGTTACCATAGGAACAACATTATTAGAAATTTCATTATCTCCTAAATAGCCACACACAATTATAATTGATTTGACTGCTTAATCTCGTACAACAGTCTCATCAAATCCAGCCAACTATTCCAAAATTGGTAATAAACATATTGATTATTATTGAATTATTTAACTAAAATTAACCTATTCAAATACGCAATATAGCCTAATTCTTCTGCCATTGCAAATAAGACTTCATCATCTTCTTTCTTCATTAAAGCTTTTAATTTATTATCATATATTTACTTTCAAAATATGGTAAAAGTACAGACTTTATTTTATCTATTCCTAAAAGAGTTGCAATTACTCTAATTCTATGCATTGCATTGACTTTTAGATATACTTCCTCATTTTCCATTTCCTCCTTAAAAACATCCATTGGATTATCACCCATATTTTATTGATTTAAATCTTTAAATTTATATAATTTATTATATATTTTTACTATATAGATTCAATTTACATATTCTGACAATCCCATATCTGCAGCCTCTTACAATGCTTTACTTAACATATCCTAAACAAAAGTCTAGTCTGATTTTAATGACAAAGATTTATGATAAAAATGAATTGCCTTACTAAGACTATTTGGCAACTCACTCAAATGATATGAAAATGCCAATCCAAAGAAAATTTATGGAGATACTGAGTTTAACTATAAAATATTAAATTTAAATACCTAAATACACTTTTCGAAAATAAGTATAGCATTTTTATATTCCCTTTATTTTCTAAAAGTATGTCCCAAATTCTAAAGTGCTGATTCTCGAATCTTATGATTAGAATTTTGACAGAACACTAAAGCATTTAAAAAATACTAAATTTAAATTATATTATACATCTTTGGCTTCATTATATTTCTTTTATTTATAAGCAATAACTCCAAGTTCATTTTATATCATAGGATCTGTCGGATTGATATCCTTAGCCTATTATAAAGACAAGATTGCTGTCTACAAATTATTTGTCCTTAAATATTCCATCCCAATATAAACATGAGCTTAATAACAACCAGGGAATTAACGAGTGATTGATCTATATATAGACATTGCTTGATCAGATTCATCTTAAATAGCATAAGAATGAGCCAACCCTATCCAGCTATATATGAGATGTTAATCTAATTGTATAGATTTCTAAAATTATTTTCTTGCCACCTCATATTTCTTTGTTGAAAAATAGTATACTCCAACTACAAACCAACTCAAAGCATTTGATGCATAGTTTTCTATCAAATTATGAGCACAATAATATAATTCTGCTATTTATTCTAATTCTAATAAACATGAAACATATGTTGGAATCACATCAAAATATAATGGATCTTATTTTATTGCTTTTAATGACCAATCATATGCAGATGCAATATCATAACTATAATATGCCTTCTTTGCTTTAACATTCAATATATCAATATTATTCTTCTTTTCTAAAGCTACATAAACTAAATCATTTTGAATTGGAATTTCCTCCTTTCTTATATAGGGACTTCTTAAAGGTGATGGTTTCATTTATTAAGTTTCCACTTTATCTACAATCTATAATTGCTAAGCTATTTTCCTTTTCTCTTCCTATAAATGATCTGCCATTTTCTAATTCCCAATATCACTATTTATTGTTTTGCTCACATAATAATCTTTCAACCAGGCTTCATCTGAATTTAATTATATTTATTGTATCAGATTTTCCTTCTCATCTGAAGAAATTAAATATGAATCTACTAATTATTAAAACACTCTCACATTTGTTGGAGTCTTTTATAAACACTCATAGTAATTTGAAACTGCTAATTATTTATTCTCTAATGCTTCATAACATTATCCTCTTATCCAATCACTTTATGATGTTATTTAATCTTGTAATATCTCTATTCCCAATTCATATTACTTATTGGCGTATAGGGCTCTTGCTGCTAAGACTCCGAAATCACCTTATGTTAATTTGTACTTTAAAAACAAATTATATACTCCTGAATATTCGGCATTTGCAAAATGACACTAAAATTATTATAGTAAATAATATTACAATTCCAAGCATAAATACCAAATATGCTTAAGTATTTTAATCTTGATTTAAGCATAATAATTTCTCAGCAAAAAATATAGCTTACTTATATTACCCTTAAAGATAGCTACTTATTGCTAATTAATATATATTCATAAATGATGGATTATTTAATAATTGATTAGCAAATATTGAGTTCGATGAAGGATTAAAATAAGGAAGTTGAACTTCATAATACATATTCTAGTATTTCTAAGGTTCATTTCCTTGTCTGATTATTTTTGATGACTTTTTTTGAATTGACATTAAACTATAATGTTAAAAATTTGAATTTTTATATTAATTTTATGCTAATTCTAATTATATTAACTTTAGTACAGGGATTTAAGAATAAAAAGTTACTGCCAATCTGAATCAACCTTAATAAAATTGTTTAGATATTAATATCGATGATAAACTACGCTATATTAAAGCGTCCTTTTTGGAAAGTGTAGTCATAGATCTTGTAATGTTTTGGAAATCTCAATAATCATCGTTCAATGAAACCATTAACAATTATTAACCAATGGATACAGTTAAATTAAGATTTAGAAATGAATGAAAGTAGACCTAAAAATTGGTTCTTTATTGTTGGATATTAAATCTCTATAGGATTATCATAAAACAATCAATTATAATATATAATTAGTAATTTATTTAATTTATTAAAAATTAGAGTTGGAAGAGGTTTTAATTGATGATCTAAATTGGACTTATTTAGGCCAATATCTCTTTGTAATATTTTAGCCTTTAATTTTTTTGTATAAATCATTGATTGAATGATTATTGGATATTTAATATATTATAAATAATTGAATTTTAGTTAACTTTTATTATTGATGCTCATTCTCATATAATAATATTAAAATTTTTAATTTGAGTATTTAAATTATGTTTTCCTAATTAAAGACATTTAAAAGCGAAAACAATAATAATATATCGTTGTCGGCCATACTAAGCCTAAAGCACCGGATCCCATTCGAACTCCGAAGTTAAGCGGCTTAAGGCGAGGTTAGTACTAAGGTGGGGGACCGCTTGGGAAGTCCTCGTGTTGACAACCCTTTTTTATTCAATTAATTTATTAAATTAATGAATTTAATCGAATTATAAAATTATAAAATAATCTATATATATTTTTACTAATTTATTTTCATTCTAAATTTTTATGTTTATGAATATATAAATTCAAAATATTAAAAATCAAATTAGTATATTTTTAATTGCTTATTAAGATAGCATTTTGGTGGAATGTAGGGATTTGATAAAATAATAATTATTAAGTATTTCTAATCACTTTAGACGAAAACACAGCAAAAAATCTATTGATATATTAGATTATGATTAATATATTTTAATGGAATTGTAAAATTAAAATTTTTTGCTCTTAGTTTTCATAAATTAAGTAAAGATACAATGTAATCATATTAAAAAAAATTGAATCAGCAAAAGATAATCTTTATAGATTCGCATCATTCATTATTGAATTTAGCTTATTTAGCATTCAAAATAAGAAAATAAATAGTATGTTCCAAATTATATATAAAAATAAATTATTATACTTGACAGAGAAATAAGTTAGTTCTTCAGATGGCTTGATAATTTGACATTATTAGAAAATCAACTGATATAATAAACATAATTTATATAATTTGATAAATTTGAATATGTATAATTTAGAATTTTTTCGAATGACATTCTAAAAAGTTCTTATATGTTCATAAGTTAATATTGTTAGAAGAAAGGAAAAATAATTTTATTTTATGAATAATCATCATATTCACAAAGTTGAATAAATCAAACCCATGTCAGAGTCTAAATTAAATACCTTAAGAAAATACTATGAGCTTACCTTAGAATAAAAGAAAGATCTCGAATATTTTACTCTTATCAAACATTTCATAAATAATTAAGAAGAATATCATGACAGTGATACTTCTAGTAGTTAAGGTCTTTCTGAGACTTCAAATACTGTTTGTATAGAAGGAAGTGCATAATAATAGATATGCATAAAGATGTTTGATATTATAAAATAAATGAAAAGAGCAGTAAAATAGTCTCAAAAATTATGCTCAACTAAGATCAAAAAAATAAATAAGGTCATAGAAAAGAGACAAAAAGAAATCAATATGTTCAAAATAAAACTTGATCTGTTATGATTATTACTATTACTATATAGTTAATTAAATGTAAAATACATTTATATAAATTAATCATTTTTCCAACTCAAAATTTATTATGAATTCATTAATATCTTAATTATCATCTTCTGTTTTTAACTAAAAATTACTTTAATTGTATATTATACTAATTATTTAAGTGATCTTTAGTTAAATTTTTCCTTGGAAACAAAGTTTTTTATTTATATGGACTAAGTTTCAATTAATTTTAATAATTTTTCAACAACCTTTTCTGGATCTACTTATGCACCAGAGTCATTTGAAAATAATCTCTTTCTTATTAAACTTATACTATTTTAATCTTTTTTTATCATTTCTGTTACTTTTTCAGAAGAAATGATATCTTTTAAAGCTTAATGTTCATCCTCTTGTTTAAACTTAGATTATTAATTATATTTATTTACATTTCTTTATTGTTTTTTTAAATCTTTTTCTCTATTTTAATATCCTAAAATTACACTTGATTGATTATCAATATATTTAACTAATCTATCATAAATTTTATCAGGATCAAATTTAAGGTTAACTTCTTCAGGAAAATACTTTCTTTATAATAAATTGGCGCTAACAATGACTTTTCTAAGATATGCTTAAAGTTTTTCATTAGATGAAATTTAAATCATTTTTTCTAAATTAGATAACATTTCAATAGGATCTACTAAATTAGCTCTTGGTCCATCATCTATTTTATCAGGCAGAAGAGCTTTTGCTTTTGTAGTCCAATTACAATAAACATTCATGATTTTTTTAAATAATATCATGTACATTTCTTTATATTATTCAAGTTCTTTATTTGGTTAATCTTAATTTTGTAATTGATTAGATTATTATTATACTTTATACATGGACAAATCTTATAATTTTGTTTCAAATTCTCTTTTTTATTATTGTAAAGATTTTTCTAAAAATCTTTTATCTTCTTCAAGATCTGCTGTTTTTTTAGTAAGAGTTAAGACAGTATTTTCAAAATATTCATATCTATCAATAATTTTATCAGCTGATAAATCTACAAATTTTTTAGTCATGATTCTATATTCTGGTAAAAACTTTTCTAAATCTACACTAACCCTTTTAATATCATCAAGTTGAATTTTAGATTATTTTAATTCTTTTTATAATTATTAATTTTTAAAGTTAAGACTTTCATTAGATGATTGTAATTCAAATATTTTATTTTTTGCCATTTCTAATTGATCTTTAAGTTCGGAACTAATTTTAATAAAACAAAATACTTTTCTCTAATAAACTTATCTACTTAATTAAGCATTTATTAACTGATGCCATGTAATAATGCTTTAGATTCAGCAAGTATCTTATCTTTAGCAACATTTTAAATCATTTGATGTAATGTTTATTCTGCTCTTTATTTAATATCCATAATATTTTTTCTTCTTGGATTCATAGTAGCAATTTCAGAAGCATTTTTAACAAGTCCATCTATAATTTTTCTAGGTTAAAAACTTTAAGTCTTAAGCATCAGTTTTCTTTACAAATTTTCTGATGTTACTTTTGTTTTGGTGTTTAATGCACTCTTATGTAAAAGGAAAGATTAGTTACATTAACTTATTGTTTTAATTCATCATCTAAAGCCTCTGGTTTTGTATATATATAATTGCCAAAAGCATCAAAAACAATTCGATGAAAATTCTTTCTGAATTTATCATATTCATCAACATTTATTTTGAGCTCTTTATCAAAATAATCTTCAGGACCATCTATTTCTGCCTAATCATTCTTAACTCTCAAATTACAAGTCCCTGCTTCTGATTTACTTATCCCTTCAACTCTTTTTCTTTCTTATAATTTTTTTAAACTTCGAGGTGTAAGACTGGTTGGATTTGTATATTTATTATTTTTTATAGATGTATCAAGACCATCTTCAGAAGCTTAAGACATTCTAAACTCTAAGATCATATAGTACAATATTTATTTTGTATGAGTCAGTGCAGTTTAAGGTCTAGTATATGATGTCTAAAATGATTAAGGAGTTTTTGTTAAGGAATTATGCATTATTATAATAAAATATATTAAAAAATCATATAGTATTATGATTTTCAAAATATTATTCATAATATTATTTTATTATTAGAATTACTAAAATTACAATTATATAAATCACCAAATGATTATTAATTAACTATTTTTACATTATTTTATACACCATACTGACTATTCTGACCATCTTTATTTTTATAATTCCAAGTTTATATAAAAAAAGAAAATATAGCTTATTTAATATAAATATGAATTAAAAGTAAATTAAGTTTATAAATTACTTTCTATATAATTATTGTAAATACATATTCTTACATATAAAATTCTATCTAATAAATTTGAATTCTTTATTAATATTCTTTATATTATTAAAGAGTGAAAACAAAATAATAAATAATTTGATAATGATTGCTTATTAAATATAAAATGATTTCAAAAAGAAACATTTATTAAAATTTTAGCTAAATAATAATAAAAAATATGTATTCACTTCCTGGAAGCAAATAACGCATATTATTACCTTAAAGACATAAGACTATTTGTTTCAAACCTGAAATATAGGAATAATAAAAATTAAAGCATGCAAAAGCTCTACATCCATTTCATTAGAAGTTAAAGCCAATCTCATCTAAATGTTTAGAATATGCTCTTTCAACTAGGTTGAATTTTTAAATTAATATAAGTTCAAGCGAATCAGAAGGGGAATGTGAAAATAACAAAAGTTGTCATTGTAAAGATTGTGGACATTAATCCTAAAAAATGAAACATATGAAAAAGAAGTATAGACGTTTTAGTCCAGTTATGCATGGAATAATGAGAGAAAGAAGAAATAAACTTAAACAGAAATTTAAAAATGCTGTTTATGTTATTATGTGGATGCAAAAATTAGTGATCTAAAGAAAGAAAAAACCTGTGATTATGAAAAAGATAATTAGAATGAAGACTAAATTATTTGAACCACCAAAAGAACCACCTCAATAAGATCAGTAGATTATTTATCTAGAAGTAAAATCATAATTCTATGAGTAAAGCCGATCTAGCCAGTGCAAGTTTAGATGATTGATTTTAAACACAAATAGCGATAATCAATTGTCAATTATCTCAACAATAAACTGCATGATATAGAATCTCATTCAAATCACTATCAGTTATCGCTTCCTAAAATAAGACATTAAAATAATCTCTCCAGTAGCCATTCCAGATTACTACTAAAACCTTTGAAAACATAAATTGATGAACTCTAAACTCCATAAAGAAATAATCTACATTAAATAGTACACAAAGCTACTCCTCCATAATCATCCCTAAGTTCCCCTTATTTAAAATAACCGCCTTTGACAACAAGAATAAGATATTTATAAAATAGACTCTATTTATCTGGAAGATATTGAATTTGTGAATAGACTATACTGTGTAAATTGCAAAATATATCATAATTTATTATATCAGCATTTTTATTCTTGCAACTAAATTTCTAAAACTTAACAAGTTGAAATCTACTATCAAAATATTATAATTTAACAGAAGTAATAACTTATGATATAAGCTTTCCATTTCTTAGAAAAATACTCCCAATCATTTATTAACATGTAATAATTCATTAATTAAATTTATTACCATAAAAATTTCTAATTTAATTTTCAATAAATTTCATAAAAATATTAATAAACTACATAAACCTATGAGTACATCATAATTATGTGTGAATTTATATTAAATACTATAATAAACAAAATTCTATCAATTATTTTTTTCTTTGATTTTTTTATAAACATTATCTTGATATTTAATTTATTTTTTAATTTCTTTATATCTATTACAAAATAAAAATAAAAGGAAAGATAGTATTAATAAAATTAAGACTAAAATAATCCCTAAAATTATAACTGCTTCATAATCTGCCTTGCTAGTTTCATACTATTTTCATAACTCTAATTAGAGTACCTAAAAATTCATTTAGAAATTAATTTAAAGTCCTTCTTTAGAAGTGACAAATCTATTTAATATAATAAGGGCTGGAGTGATAAGAGTTTATGATTCAGATATTTTAACTTTATAATGGAAATTAGAAATAGTTAAATTTTAAAATCGATTACAAATTAGATTTGACAAATAGGATTAATTTCCATCAATATAATATTGTAGATTGGTTGTTACATTTTATTAACATGATTATTCATCATCTTAAATGAAAATGATTTATTTAAAGCAATCTTAATAATTTGATTTTAAAAGAACAACACAATAATATTCATTAGAAGATGAATCTGGAATATAAAGTAAAGTGTATTAATGATTAGCTTGAATACTAAGATTGAAATTTAAGTCACCAAATTAATAATTAGTGGTAAATTGTTTAATGAATGATAAATGAATGACAGCTTGATCTTGATTTTGAATAGAATAAGATTGTTGAATGAGATTAGCATGAGTCATAAAAAATAGTAGTTAAATAATCATTATAAAATATAAATATATAAATTTAATTGAAAAATAGTAATTAAATAAAATAACTGATAATGTTTAGTAAGAGTAGATAGGAATAGTTAAGAACATTCATGGCAGATAATTAAGATCCATTGGTGTTGACAAGTTTACTATAATAATTGAATTATTGTGTTGATAAATGTTCATAGGAGTTAACATAGGGAAAAAATGAATAAAAAAATATATAAGTTGAAAAGAAGGTTAGAAGTGAAAGAACGAAAAGGGGAATTAGTTAAGATAATACATGTTATAACCCTTTATGGTTGATAAATAAAGAAAAGAGAAGGATTGTAGAGAGACACAATTAAGAATTCAAAACATTTTTACCTTAAGTAAAGCGATTGATTTGAATTTGAGAGTTTGTTTGGAATGAGCAAGAAAAGGAGATAGAATAACCGATATAATAAAGATTGAAACCTTTGGGCCCAATAAAAGGAACTATTAATAAGCCTAGAATATTAATTCCGAAAGAGATACGAAAAAATCCACTAAATCAAAGGAAAAGGATCTATGAGAGTTTGATTTATAAAGAAGGGCTATGCAATTTGATAAATAAAGGGTTGATTGATAAACATATTGATGTTAGTCCTGCTTTTGAGTTTAGTTTGATGCTAATGTGATAAAACGGATATACATAATTAATATTAATGAAAATAGTATTATTATTATGCATGATAATGACAATCTCATATGGAATCTCATCTAAAATAAGTCATGCAAAGAAATTAGAAGAACTTCATAGTAGCAAATTAGGAAAGACTATTTTAAATTTAGTGATGCTTCATTCTTAAGTATAAGGACCAATTTCAGAATTGATTGAAGCAATAGAAGAATTAGTAAGATTAATAATAATAATAGATAGTTGATATTAACACTAATATAGATGAAGTTGAATATAAATTTTAAGTACGTACAAATGAACATAATTCTTATGTGGCATAAGTTGGATAATAATTATAGGATGCTGAATAAGATATAGCGAGAATGATAGATGTTATAGATAATCTCTTAATTCCAAGAAGAGATTAAATAAGAAATAAAATTGAATCACTTGTTGAATATGATGAATTTAATAGAAAAAACGTAGATGAAACTACATTACTTAGAGAATAAGAACATGAAGCTTACATTAAATAAATTGAAGAAGACAATGATGCACTTGATGCTGTTGATGATGCTATCAATTTAGTAAGTTCATTATCAAATCCATCTTTATTATAAATTAAGAATATCAAATTTACATTAAAGAGATTGTCATCTAAATAATGGAATCGTGTTCATTAAGGACCTATGGTTTAAGCTTTAATCTAAATTGCATTAAATTAAAATTTTAGTGATTAAGGAATATTAAAATAAATTGTAGAGGCATTAAATGAATTTAGAAATTAAGTTGTTGAAGCCATGAATGATTTAACTAAATAAGAATAAATCAATATTCAAGAATTCGAAGATAGACTTGAACAATTAGATGATGAACATAGAGAATTCTAAAGACAAATTAATTAAGCACAAGTTGATCTTTAAGCTACTAATTGTATTTTATTATTTATATTTATTTCTTAGAAAAACTAGAAGACTGTAATCAATTCCTTATCTAAAGATAGGCTGACAGATTATAATATAAGTCATAATTAGATTTAGAAAATGAAACTTATGCTGTTGATACTGATATCTATACTTAAACTGCTAATGAACTCTAAAGAGAATTACCTATTGCAGAATAAGGATTATCACTTATCAAATCAGCTGATTTTTCTGATATTAAGATATGAATCAATAATAATTATTTATTTAATAATGAAAAACAAAATCAAAAAATAACCACCTTAATATGCCATCAAATTAACTAAATTAAATTAACCTCTTGATTCTTAATATCTCAAAGTTCTTAATCTATAAGGATTATAATTATAACAACTTGATATTAAAGTGGAAAATCTATCTACTCTTATTTTAGATTTTAACAATCTTACAAATTTAGACATTGTTTCATAATTCCCTAATTTAGTTACTCTATCAATAAAAAATAATTTTATTGAAGAATTTCATATCCCTTCAAGTATTTTACATTATATTATCAAGCTCTTAGGATTTTAAACATATCAAACAATCTCCTAAAGTCTATTCATCTAAAATCATTAGAGCAATTAGATGCTAGTTCTAATATGCTATAGTTTCTTAAATAAGATTATCAGAATAATCTCATTTAATTAAAATTAGATTGGTTGAGAATTATAAATTAAAATGATGTATGGGAACATTTAACAATAAAATAATTTGCAAATTAACAATAAATTACATTTAGATAATTTTTAGATAAAGCAATCGAATTATTGATTTCGTATGGATTCAAAAATGAACACAATTATCTAAATAAAAAAATTATTCATACCACTATAAATTCTAATGATAAATATTACTTTGACTTAATCTTACCCTATTATCAAGAAAATTAGCATCTTTTTGATAATTCTGAAACTCCTTTATGTTTAGCAATCAAAAAACTAAAAATGGATTTTATTGGAGGCTTAATGAATAAAATTTTTATTAAAAATGAAATTGATGCATTTCATGAATCTATCAAATAAGGATAAATTTCTTTAGTCAAATAATTTCTTGAATTGGGAATTGATTGTAATGGATATAGTAGTAAAGGATTGACTCCTATTACTAATGCAATCTTAAATATTACTTAAGTAAATATGGAAATGATTATTCATTTACTTCTTCAAAGTTAGGCTAATCCAAATAAATTAAATTAAAATGGATAATCTTTAATTCAAATGTGTATTATTAAATCTAATCTTACTGCACTTAGATTCATAGCAAATATTAATAAAAAAAAACAAACTAAATTCAAATTTAAAATGAATATCAAAAATATTAATGGAAATTATCCTTTACATTTAGCTGTTAATAGTGTTAGTATCCTTTCTTTTTTTATCAATAATAAAATAGGAAGTCCATTATTAGTGAATTATCAAAATCTTACAGCTAAATAAATGCCATTCTGTTAAAATAGACCACTGATTTATAAATTATTACAAAAAGAAGAAAGAATTCATGTTATAAAATAATTAGTCAAAAATGATATGAAATATCAAGTATTAAACAAATATTAAAATACTAAAAGAATATGTAACAGTGATAGTTCTTGTCCTGAACTCTCTGATGATGAAATGCCAAATAAACCAAAAATTAATAGAAAACATATTACATAAATTGATGAATTGAGTGAAGATGTCAGATAAATATCTGAAGATGAAGAATGCTAACATAATTTTAGTTCTGAATCAGAAATCTAATATCCAAAAGATAATTTAAAATCTCTCAAATTACTTCAATTAAATTATTAAAACTTTCAATTATTTAAACTTAATTAGAATGTACGATATACGAGTATATTCATTAACAAAATTAATAAAAAAAGACTAAATAATGATCAATTCATTTATTATTCAAGACAAGGTTAGAATTTTAAAGATAAAATAAACTCTTTAGTTTGTTTAAGATAAGAACTCATTCTTTTAAGTTTGATTAGAAAATACTCAGATTTAATTTGCTAAGATTTTTTTTCATATATGAATTAACTTAATCAAATTATAATCAATTTAGAATAAGATTTTCATAATGATTCACTTAAAGATTATATGAATTTTTAATAAGTTTAATTTTTAATATGAGTTACTTTAGTGATATATCAATATTAATTATTTTATGTAGAGTATTTAAGTCTCTTTTGTTGATAAATACCCTGATAGAGTGTAATAATGACGCAAATTATACTTAGCCCAATTTTTCTTGAAATCACAGATAAATCTAAAATTCGCTTTTCAGATGGATCTAAAGTTAAAAAGTATTTGGTGAGTAAATCAGATCACTTTTATCACTTTTTTTAAATTCTAAGAAACTCTTTAAAGTTGTCTAAATAAGATGGCATATATTTATTTGTAAGTAATTCTGGATTGATCAAACCTGGTAAAAACAATTACTTAATTAGAAAGCCAAGTTGGAGAAATATATTCAAAATATCGTAGCAATGATGGTTATTTAAGAATACTTTTAAGCGAATATGCTACATTTGGAGATTTTTGAGAATCAATATTATTCTTAAGCAAATTTTATTATTTATTTAAATTTTACAGTTTTTATAAAATCTATTGAGAAATTTGTAAGTTTTAAATTTTTTTACCAATCCATACACATAAACTAAATTTTTTCAATTAACATACAATTTCATAATGAATATTTTCTCATTAAAATATATTCTTATCTCAAAATTAAAAGTTCATGAGATTTCTAAATTTCTGGAAATAATTTTTTAACCCAATAATTTTTTTTTATAGTCTCAATACGATTTTTATGTTAATAATAATAAAAGGAAAAAGACTTTCTCAAAAACTAATTTGAAAAAAAGTAAATAATAAAAAATAAAATTCTCTAGATTTCTGATGGAATAAGTGATTAGAACTATTTCTATTTATTTCATAATTTAATCAAGATGATTTAAAGTTCTAACAGAATCCTAACAAATAAATAGAATGTTTACTAAATAAATAGGTTCAAATAATTATGGAGTATAGTTATCTTTTTATTCAATAGTTGTTTAATTTATATAATATATTAATAAGATTTAATTTATTAATCATTTAATTGTAAACCAATTAATATTTATATCATAAAAAAATAATGTTCTAAAGATTACAATTTCTTTAGATACTAAGAATTTCTATTTTAAATGCTGTATTAATTTATTCAATAACTATTTCTGGTTTGTTTTAAGATTTTGCTTTTAATTATAACTGATCTCTTCTAAATGGTTTAAGTTGATTATTCTAATCCTTGATACTAATTTTTAAAGCTTCTTAAATGTCTACCTTCATTTTATTATTGAGAATCTTTTAATAGATATCATTTTTTTCACAATAATGTAATTAAGTCTTTGATATGTAAATTTTTTGTTTATTTTTTTGTGGATAAAGAATTAATAAATTAAAAAGTAATATTGTCTGATATATTAGAAATAATTTGATAAAAAGTTTATTAAGGTTGAATTAGGTATAAATGAGTAGACATAGTGATAATTTTAGATGAGATGAATTATATTTAATTTTTAATATATTAACATACTTATATTATACAATATTTATTTTTTAGTTGGTTAACTAATAATGGAAAGCTAACATCCATTCATAGTACTAATACTTGGAGATTGTAATAGTGGGAAATCAACAATAGTAGGAAGATATTTAGAGAACAAATTGGTAGATCCTCAACCAACAATAGGAGTAGTAAAAAGAGATAGTTAAATAGAAATTGGTAATAGCAATTAAAAAGCTTAAGTATTATAATAAAAATAAAAATAGATTTTTGACACATCTGGAAATGAGAAGTTTAGAGATTAAGTATTGGCTGAATTCAAGAATGCATCAGCTGTTGTATTAGTTTATGATATAACTGATTATCAAAGTTTTTAAAATATTTAGACTTTATAAAAAGGTACTTAGTAGATTAATTGTAAATTAGAAGTCACAAGATAAAATCCTAATATAGATTATTGGATTATAGTAGGAAATAAATTAGATTTAAAAGAATAAAGAAAGGTTTAAACTGATGAGGGAAAGAAGTTTGCTTCATAAATTGGTGCTAGATTTATTGAATGTTCAGCTCAATAACCAAGTAATATCAATCTAATTTTCTTAACTATTCAACAATGGACTTTGATTAATATTCAACCTAAATATGTCCCAGAGTAAACTTAAAGACTTTTAGAAAAATTGAATAATGATGAATCTTCAAAATAACTTTTGACTTCTGCTTCAAAAAATAATTAAACTAAATTTAAAAATAGAAATACGAGTTTCTCTTTAATTTAAAATAATACAAATAATGTAGTTTCATAATCTTTTGATGAATAATAAAATTCATTTAATGGAGATAATCTATAAGATTATTTTACACAATTATATAAAAAAGTAGATTTACAAAATCAAAAAGTAAATTAATGATATTATTAAGTTAGCTGATGTTATTGTTGAAGAAGCATAAGATAATGTAATTTAATCTTTGAAGTAAGAAACTATTACAATTTAAAATACAAAACCATTATATCTTCTCGAAAATAATACTTTTTAATTATAAGAAAAAATTTAAGATAAGATAAATATGATGAAAAAAAAACATAAATAATTAGATAAGTTAAGAAAAGAGATTGCCTAAAACTTATTACTCATTTAAGAACAAAGAAAAAAATTAACTGCTGACTAAGTTATAGAAAACACTTAAACGTAAAAATTAGAAAGAGAATTACAAAAAAGACTTTTGAGTGTTGAACGTAATATGGATTTCTTGAAAACTGATATTATTCTATCTTAAAAATCTTAGAAATTCAGTACTAATAAAAATAATTTTCTCTCAATTGACTAAACTTAAATTCTCAAATAACACATTAATTAAATTCAAAATCCAGAACATATTAAAGAATAAAATGATTAGATTTAAAAAATAAAAACTGAGAGAAAGAAATTAGAAGAATAAAGAAATAATAGATATAAATAACATGTTGATAATTTAGAATCTTTATAAAAATAAGAAAAAGAAATAAGATTAAAAAATGAATAAGATTTAATTTAAAAAAGAAAAGAAAAAGCTATGAATAAAATAGCATCAATGGATTAAATAAGATAAGAAAGATCTTAATAATTGATAAAATAAAATGAATAAGTTAAATAAATCATAGGAACAACACCTTTGCATGTTAAATTAGAAAATTTATACTAAGAAAAAATAACAAACCCATAATTAGAAGAACATAAACTTAAATTAAAATAAATTAGAGATCTTCATTAACCAGTTAGAATGAATGATTTAAAATAATGGGAAGAAAATTATGATAAGAGAAAAAAATCATAAGAAGAGGTAAGAAATTAAAAAATTTTTTAAAATAATTAATTATCTTATTAAGCATCTTATGAATCATCAGCTTATAAATAAGTTAAGGATGAATAATCTAAATAATAAAAAGAAAAAGAATATTTATTAAAGGAATAATAGTCAAAGTAATAAGCTAAATAGGAATTTTAAAATAAACTAAAAGATTATATTCCATCTATTAGTCCAGAGAAATAATAAGAATTAGAATAAATCATCAATAAAGTACATCATAAAATCAATTTTTATGAATTTATAGAAATGACTAAGAAAGTAAAATTAAAAGGAGTATTTTTTGATAAAGATGGTAAAATTCTAGAAAGAAGTGTTGATGTAAAATTCTTATATACATAAGATAGGAAGAATATTATGAGAAAATAAAAGAGAATGAAAAGAATGAAGAATAAAATCCTAAGGTAATAGGAAATAAATATCTAAATGATGTTAGAAGGATAATAAAAAAGCCTAGTTTACATGAGAGTGTAGATAGACTATAAAGTTAATCAAATCCAGAATAAGGATATTAGCTAGCAGTTAGAAATCCTAAATAAAATAAATTAAATGAAATTAAATCACATTGGAAATTAAAGCCCAAATTGACTTTTGAAGAAACTGATCTTTAAAAAATTATAGATGGAAATGAAGGTTAAATATTTTAATTATATAAGTGGCTGGATTCTCTAATTAACATGTGATGCAATAGGCTAATAAATTAGCATCTGAAGCAGTCAAATAATTATAAATTATAGAAGCAAAAGGGGAAGGAAAAATATGTTATAAAGATATAGAATCAGCAGATAAATTATTAATAAATTCTATTAAAGTTTTTATTTGAAAATATTATTATAGGCAAAACTTACTTTAATGGAAAAAGAACTTAAATCTGAAAATAGAGGATAAGAAATATCTACTAACTAGAAAAGAGGAAGAAGTAATACTAAATAGCATTCCTGAAACTATTCATATTCATTAAAACTCATTAAAATTTTACTCTTCATCACATTAAAGCTCTAATGCTTAACGGTTTTCCATTTGCATCTAGTCATATGTCTATATTAATTATTTAATCTAATAACTCTTTTCTGTTTCAAAATTCAAACAAATTCTCTTATTAATTTGAATCCCAAAATTATTTGTCTATGGATTGAAAATGTAAATTCCCAAATTTTTTTGTAATGAACTAATTTAATCTATTTCTTCATAATCAAGTTCTAAGATTTCTAGTTAGGAATTCAGTTATTTTAGAAATATAATACACTTATAATTTATACACAAATAAAATGATGTCCATGTACGACAATCTTCAATAGCATATGATGAAGAAAGTTTATTTTATTTTTTCTTTTCTTACCAATAGTGTTTACTTAATTCAAACAAATACATTAAAGTTTCCTTATCACTTTATACTTTAAAATTAGTAACACCAAAAAATTTAGTTGATTTTAAAATATCCAAAAAGATTAACATAGCATAATGAGCTTCAGTCTTAAGAGTGATGGCATTTTCTGAATTGTCTGATTCTGTAATTTAATTATTCTAATCATTATTAACTGTGGATTTAGCATTTTATTATTAAAACTTAAAATTCTAATCTTTTTCTTTTTTTTAATCTTCTGCATATTCATTTGTGATCAATGTATAGAAATTATCAAATATAGTAGGTAAGAAGTTAAGCCAAGTTTCTTATTGAATATACTTAAAAATTTAAGATGGAATTAACTAAGAGAATAAATAAAATTAATAAATACTTTTTTAATATCGTTGAATGGAATGTTGTTCCTATCTATCTTTTTAAATTTATTTAGTATTAAATATAATGCTGCACAAATAACATGATTTTTAGATTCTAATATTAATCTTTAATTTGTGATATCATCAAATAGTTAATAACTTACTAATGATAATCTAACTAGATCACATTTACAAAATTCTGTTTCTTCCTCACAATTCACATATAAGTACTTTCTCAATTATAATAATTTTTAATTGTATTAAGGTTAATTTTATGCCTTTTTGAATAAACCTTTAGTTTCATCTGTTTTGATTAATAAATTCCACAATTTTTCATCTTTATCTAATGGTTTAATAATTGAATCATCAATTAAGAATAGTTTAAAATCATATGAATATTAAAGTTAAATATCTAATGCCACTTCATCTCTAAGTTATTCAGCATCAGTTTCTCTACAAATTTAGTATTCATATTCAAAAGGTTTAAAATTTAGAAATATTTAAACTTTAATTTTTACTAATTATAGATTTCCATCTTATGGAGCTATCATAGATCCTTATCTAGAATTACATCTAGTATCAGCAGCAAGTAATTATGAAGCAGATACTTTCCTACTATTTATCATACTAGAAGCTCTCAAACCTTTAACATTTTATTTTTATTCTGATTATTGATCTTGGGTTTCTGATTATTATTATTATTATTATTATTATTATGATTATTATTATTCTCCATTCTTAGTAGCAGTTTATTATATTTATTTAAGTAAATCACCCATAGGTTTAATTGGTCCTCTAGGAGTACTCACTTATGTTTATATAGTATTAATATTTGATTATTAAAAATTTCTAAAACCTTATTATTTAAAATTATTTTCAATCAAAGTAGTTAAAGGTTTTTTATTTCCTCTTAAACTCAATATTGATAAATTTTAAGACTCTCGTTCTTTTTCTTCCTTTAATTTTCTTAATAAACTATAAAAGTTTTCATGCAATCCTAATTGGTTAAGAATTTATTTTTGATACTGATTTTCTGCTTTAAAATCTTTTGAATTCAAAAGTTATAATAAAAATTCTGTCATTAAAATCTTTCTTCTCTAAACTTAATAATAAAATTAGTTACATCAACCACAAGGGCTTCATTCCTATCAAAATAAGTTGTTTCCTTTATCTCTGGTATTTTTATATTTGGAAACTTGGCTTTAACAAATTCTAATGTTTATTTAAACTAACTAAATCTTAAATAAATTTGTTAGGTTATAATGTTATTAATTACAATTTCAAAGACATATCTTGTATACTTTTTATTTGAATTATCAAGTAATTCTTGAGTTCCCTAAATTTATACAGTAACAACAAAATTTTATTAATTACTCTAATCATCTTAAGGTACATAATCAGGTTTAATTTCTTAAATCAATTTATTTCTTCTATCTTTCTTCTCTTAAAGTTATTGTATGATTCCATTCACAAAATCTATTTATTCTTTTAAATCTTTTTCAGAATCTTAGCTTTATACTACAAAAGTAACATGATTATCTGATCCATTAATTTAATATAAAAACTTATAATTATACATTTCTGCCATTTTATTACATTAACTTAAATGATTAAGGGTAATAAAAGTTCTAAAAACTTAACCTTATTTTATTTGATCTCTTTCTGTTATTAAAATTAAATCAGAGAAAAAATACACAATTACAGGTCTAACCTCACTTTCAACAGAAAAGTACATTTAAAGTGATTCTTCTTTAAGAAATTGTCTGTTTAATTCTAAAATTTTTACATGTTTTCCATATTATTATTGCAATTCAAAAATTTATTATTTTGATAATAAACTATCCATAGCTTTATTATTTTGATTAGCAACAGCTTCAAATTCTTAGAGAATCTTTTAGAATATAGGATAGTCAACACTTTCTTAATTTAGATTTTTTATGTAATCTTTAAACAAAAGTACATATTTTGGAATTCTTTAAACTGGTAAAATTAAATAATAGTTTTCTAAATTTTTGCCAAGATTTTTCTTATCTGCTTAATCTAAAAATGATTTATATTATTTATTATTGACTCTCAAATTTGTCTATAATTTTGAAGCATTAGCATAATTTATTAAATAGTCTTAATATATTTTAAAAAAATTGGCATGTGAAAGCAACTATTTGATAGCATTCTAGAATTCTTATTGATAATCTTTTTATAAATCTCTAAATATAGTAAGAGTTTCTTGGGAAAGCATGTATATAGATTAAATATTGGAGAAAAGTCCTTTTATTTCACTTGATGAAAGAATGCCTTTAGATTCAGATAAAGGTTTTAAATAGCAATTAATCATAGTTTTAAGAGCTGAACAATAGATTTCTTCAGTAACAAACAATTCATTCAATACTTGTTTTCTATATTTATATTTATGAGATTTTTTTAAAGGTGCCAATCTCTTCTTAACTAAATAAGTTCTTATTTTTGATTGTAAATAGATAATTTATTATTAACGATCAGGCTAATTTAATTGAGGCTATTGATTTTCTTCTAAAATTGATCTTGCTTCTTATACTGTAGCACTAATTCTACCAATTTTCTCTTCATCATCTTAAAAGTTTGATATCGAAAGTTTGACTTTATGTGAAGCTTTAATACTCTTATTCAAAGATGTGTTTTAAACAATTTGATTAAGTTTGTGTTTAGTTGTAATATAATTTGAATTGATAGGAAGAAATGATTTTTCTTGGGTTTGTGAAGGTTAGGTTTCTAGAAATAAATTAAATTTTTATGATACTCAGATATTAATACTAGAAAATTTGAAACATATTGGGTTTTGTTTTTTTTTGTTTATTGGGAGTTTGATCAGAAGGGTTCATAATTTTTGTTTTTTTAAAAAACTATTTTTTTTTTGGAAATACAAAAAATTGAGTTATTTGTATATTTTATTATAAAATGAGCAATTTTGAATGTCAGAATGCAATTAAAGAAATGCGAAACACAATAGGGAAATAAGAAAGTTTATAGAACATTTATAAGGAAGTAAATAGTCCTTCAGAATAATCAAATTAAAGGTTACTTTATTAATTTATTAGCATAGTTATTTTTCACCTAGTCATAGTTAAATGGTGGTTGTTAAAGAAAAAGTCTTGATAAGTAAAAATACTGATTTATTTACTACTTAACCAATAGGGTAATATTTAAATGATTGTAGAATGACTCATGTATGGAAAAGTAATGGTTTAATAATTATTACAATGATTATACGATTTTTGTATACGTTGAAATTGTAGACAGAATCAATGAAATATAAATTATTAAACAAGAGAATATATGCTATTATTTAGGATTTGTCTTCAGATTACTTAAACATTGTCCGTTATCGTAATAATAAGTATTAAATAAAAGGAAGGTCAGAATTAAGAGTTCATTATTCTCTCTTTAAAAAATAATTTAAAGCTTTACTGGATTATTATGGGAAATTCATTCCAATTTTTTAACCTGATCAAAAATTTATAATATATTTTGAACTTCTCTTAATTTTAACAATAACAATAAACCTATTTTATGTACCAATTAACATAAGCTTTTTGAATTAAGATATATCAATAGCATTTGAAACAATACCTACAATATTGTAATTGATTTGGATATTTATATCATTTAATCTTTCTTTTTATGAGGATTAAACATTAAAGAAGAACAGAATAAAGATAGCAAGTAATTATTTAAAGAATCAATTTACTTTTGATTTGATAATAGTATGTACTCTTTACTTTTAAATATTATATGGTTATTTTATTCCATTGATATCTTTTGTATTAAGAATTCCTTAATTGATAAGATTATTAGATTAATTTGAATATAATACTAATTTTAAAGAAAACTTAGCAGCGATATTTGATTTGATGAAATTGATAGTAATGCTTATTTTTATCATACATTTTTGTGCATGTAGTTGGCATATTTTGGGAGTATATGAGAAAGAATATTCTGTAATAGGAAGGAATTGGTTAGATTATTATAATATTAGTCATTTGAGTTGGAGTGAATAGTAAAATTTTAAAATTTAATTAGAGATACATTGCATCTTTATATTTTAGTGTAATAACAACTTTGACTGTTGGATATGGAGACATCACTCCATAATCAGCTTATGAATAAATATTTGTTATTTTAGTAGCTATGAGTTTATGTGGAATGTTGGGATATACTATAACTAATATAGGAGAAATTTATAGATCAATGAATGAAAAGAAGCGTTAATATAAAACTTAAATGAAGGCTATTGAATAAATTATTAGATAAAGAAACTTAAATGATAAACTATCAATTAAAGTAAGAAAATATTATTAGCATCTGTTTTAATAAGAATAGTAAGAAAATTCTTTAGGGGAATAATTACTTAATAAATTAACTAAAAATTTAGAAGAAGAAGTTATGATAGATTCTTATAAAACTATTCTTATGAATTCTTATTTATTAAAATAATTTAAAGATTCAACTATTGAATAATTATGTACAAAGGTTAAAGTCTAAAAATTATAACCAGGTGTTGAAGTTGTTAAAGCATAACAATTTGCTGATCAATTAATATTTTTATTAAATGGAGAATTAACATTATTAGGACATAATTCAAGATAACCTATAATTCTTAAGTAACTTACTTAAGGTACAGTTATTGGTGAATAAGAATTTACTGAACAAGGTTTTTATGATTACATTATACTCAGTTAAGGATATAGTAAGATAGCTACCATTTCTAGAATTGCATTCTATGAAATTTTATAATATGATAGATAGGAATTTGAAAAGATGTGTAAAATTAGAGATTAATATAAATTTAGTGTCAAGAAAAAAAATGTTATCGGAAGAACTTGTGAAATTTGTGGATGGACACATGGCTATATGTAATGCCCTATGACATTTTATTAAGTTGATAAAATTAAACTATTAACTAAATACAGATAAAATACATAATAAGAAAGAAAATATTTTAATGATTTCAGAAGAAGACATAAATAAAATACTTTATCTTCTTTATAAAGTACATAAAATGCTTGTGTAGATTTCATGATCAGCTAAAAAATACTTGATGAAATGTATCAAATTTATTAAGCTTTTCTTTAGACCAAATTAAGATTAAAATGATGATAGTAATCACAAGTTGAAATTGAATATTCATGATGCCGATTCCTAAAATTTAGATTCTAGTAAATCTCTTTAAGATGATAATAAAGCAAACACTCATAATATCTCTAAATCACCCAACAAAAATACTTCTAAATTTCAATTCTTTACTAAATAAATTGATTCATAACGTGATTCGCTTTAAAACACTTTATTTCAAAGAAAAAATATCAAAAAGCATTCCCTTATTGTTGATAATTCCAGTAATACAAAAAAAGAAGATGATTTAAAGAGTTACATTGAAGAATTGATTTAAAAACTTAGCATAAATTAAAAAGAAAAATCAATAATTTCAACTCATCCGAAAATAGCAACTTATAATCCCGATTTAGAGTTTGAGGTAATGTAATCATATAAATATTATTTTCCTCAATTTAATATTGATAACATTATTGATAGAGTGAATGTTACTTATGAAAAATTTATGTAATAAAACAAGAAAAATCCAATAAGAATTTTTGTGAATCGAAGAAAATTAAAAAGGAGAATAATTATAAAAGAATGATGTATAACTACAATTTAAAAAAATAAATGAAATATTTATAAATTTTTTTATTAATTAATCAAATCTCATCTTAATACAATCCATAAAGACCAAATGAAACTGAAATAATGGAAAAGAATATTGAAAAGATAAGTGTAAACCAAGCAAAGCATTTCTTATATATATCAGTATCAAACTTAAATTACTAATCCAAATATAAAATTGAAGGAATAAGAAAAGTAACAAAATTTTATGATGTAGCTCCCATTAAGCAACTTAATAATAATATTGGTGGTTTAGCCATAGCAAATATGAATGCCAAAATATAGATGATAATAGTTACAAAAATGGAAGTTTTTTAATTTTATTTAAGTTTTGCTTCTTCATGAATGGCAAATGATTATCTAAACTTATGATTCATAGTTTATGATTTTTTATTTTCTTTTTCTTCTTCTTTATGAAAATCACCATCAGTAATTAACATGAATTCTACATTCTTTTCTTTTGGGATTAATGGTTTTTTATCCCATATATTAAGTATTAAAACAGTGGCATATGGAATATATTATAATAACTATAATTAGGCACTAACAGCGATAAAAATATAGAATATGTAAAAATAAGTGTTATCTAAAGGTGGAATAAAATTTTTGGATTGATAAACCATTCTTATTAAATTTCCATATAATGAATCAAGTTCACTATTTACAGAAGTAAAAGCTATAGCTGCTAAAATGGAGAATGCTATTTCTGCACACATTAAGAATAAGGAACCTAATAATGCACCTTATTTTAATTTCTTTTCTATATCATCATCATTTTCGAATCCTTTATCTGATGCTCTCCCAGTAAAAAATTGTGAATGATAAGCAAATGCCATTAATATTGTTGGAGTTGAAATAAAAGATTGTACAACCTTCTAACTTGAAGGATATAGATATTGATTTGGGTTGGATGAGTGTGATATAGAAAATGAGGCTATTATAATGAACACCATAGAAAAAACACCTAATATTCTAGCTATTGCAACTATATAAACAGGATATTTCCATTTAACAAAAAATGGAATCATCAGAAGACTTCCTATGAATTATATGAATTATTATGATGCCAATGATTAAGCCCACTTAAATATTAAAGAATTATTACCTAATCTGTTATTTATTATTTTGACATCATATATATTAAAGATTATATGGAAGACTAAAATACACACATTAATAAGACTATGTAAAGATATGCATTAAATATCATGATGCCTCGATAAATGTCAGCTGAATATTTAGGCATTTGAAATAGTTCAAATAATTTTGTAAGTGTTCCTTACTTCTTTTTAGATCGAGCATAGTATTTTAGATCCAAAAGAAGTAATGATTGAAAGTAACTCAAAATAAAGAAAAACAAGCAACCAAAGACTCCAAATATTATTCCAATCATTTAGAAATAAAAGGGTAGGGTTAATAAGCTGAAAACAAATGAAGAATTGACTACTCGGAGCATAAAATTGAAAGTCTCATTGCCTTTCTATCTATGTCTACGAGGTGATAGCATTGGACTACTAATATCGCCAGCTGAATGCCTTATTATTTAAAAATCTACTCTAGCATATCGGATGAGCTGGAATTCTTCCTTTTCATTTTATTAATATTAATAATGAAAAGAACAAAGGAAACTATATTTAGATAACATCCAGATTGGTAATAAAGAGAAGGAATCAGTGGTCTTAAAGAATTTGATGGTGAAGATCTATGTATTTATTTCATCTTATATTCGTTAGAATTTGATGCTAGGAATAAATATAATAAAGAGTAACAGAAGCAATGGATTTTATAATAAATTGAAGAAAAGAAAAGAAAATAAGAATAAGAAAAAGCAGAAGAAATGGCCTATGCTTAATAAACTTTAGAAATCAATAGATTTAGAGGAATGCTTTAAGATAATTTTGCAGCCAGAAAAACTGATATTGGAGTTGCTACCAAACAAACCAATTTATAATTTGTATTTATTTAATCTATAATATTTAGGCTAAAGAAAAAAAAGATAAAGAAGAAAGGGATAAATAGGAGAAGTTATAATATGAAAAAAATGAAAGAGATTTATTACTTGATCGTGGACGTAAATAACCCTATAATGGATGATATAATCATTTTATTATCAAAATTTCAACTTATTTTACATTCAAAGATAGTTTAAATCTCTCTCTCTAAACTTTCTTAAATATTTATTCATTATTTTTATTATTTCTTTTATTTTATAATATTTCAACACTCATATTTATATTATCACATTTAATCCTTATAATATCAATATTATCAATAGATCTTTTATCAAATTCACTTCCTATTTCAAAATTTTTTTAAATTAAAATCCTTTAAATTCATTGCTAGAAAATCATAATTCTTAAAAGGAGGTAATCATATGAATTTAATCATTAGATTTATTTTTTGATATGTTCAATAAATTTTGAAGCTTTTTTGTTATTTATCATATATAAATTTTTAATGAAAACATATTTGAATTAGGTTATGTTGAGATGATATTTTAACAAATATGTAAACGCTTAAACCAAATTCTCAATATGTCTTTATGTCTTTTGGCTTCGATTTATTTATTTTCTTTTTATCTAGATTCTTTAAGATCAATTAAAATTTCAGTTATTGAACTTTAAAATATAATCTTCACATTTTTGATGAAGAATTAAAGATAATCTATGCACTACTTATCTATTTATAAAATTTAAAAAATAAATATTAATTTTATAACAGACCATAATACAAATGAAGCGAGTTGCACCAAATTCAATAAATAATATTTAAACAGAATCTCGTTCATCCTAATAATCTTGTCATACAACAAAATCTAAATAATTAATACCAACTACTCCTCTTTAATAATCAAAACCTAATAATCTAATTTAATCACTAAATGGTTTGTGTAAGTACTTTATTTAGAAAGTTTAAAGTAAATAAATTACATATTATGCACCAAAAAGTATTTAAAGATCATCTGCTTCTTTATCACCCAGATAAATTATTGCTGCAAATATATAAGAAAATAGTCCGCTTTTGGCAAAGTAACTGTTATATGGTAAAAAGGATTAAAAGGAGAATTTTAATTTTAAAGTAGGTATTAGCATAGTGGATGAAAAAAATGCACCTTAAAATAGTATGAACTTTGACCAAAAATTAGTGAAGGTGAATGATAGTAGTCATAAAAAAAGTATGGGTAAACTTGCTAAGAACTAGAAATCTCGAAATACCTCTGTATAATATTGTGAAGATTGGAAATTAAAATATTAAGAATTATAATTAAGTTTGTATTAGAGAATTTAATAACTAGAAAAAGAAATGGAAATAATGGAGAAAAATAAAAACATTGATTAGATGCATTCTGATTAATAAACGAATTAATATATTGAACAATTGTAATTTATAATATCAGAAAAGGATCAAAAAATTTATGAATAAGAATAATAAAATGAGAATTTATAAAAAATAATAGATATTTAAGAAAAGGATTTATAGAAATAAAAGGAAAATAAATATAAATAAAATGAGAGTAGTGAGATACAAAGATTGTAGCAAGTAGATTAAAAATTTTAATAAATAAAAGGACATTTGCCTGCACTTAATATTACTCTAAAAAATATTTAATAAATATTTGATGCTGCTTAATCAGATTAAGATTAAATAAATAATTTATCTCTATCTTCTGTTTCAATAGTTGAAATGATTCATGATTTTAACTAAGGTATAGGAGAAAGTACATAGAAGTCATTTAAAAGTAATACTATATTGACTTCTGGTCTTCTTGAGTCAAAATAATTAAATTTATCATAAATTTTAAACAAGAAGAGAAACTTATGATTTCAATTAATTTACAAAAATAATGATTCTAAAATTTGATTTATGATTTTCTTGTTTTTGATTAACAAAATGAATATAGTATAAATTATATATATATATATAAAATGGACTAGCATGAATACAAAGAAAATTATTATGATGCAAATATAATGAAAAGGAGAAGAATTTAAGATAAAGGAATGGTTGCTCCAATCTTAGAAGTCTTTATGGATATTTGTAAGAAACTAGATTATGTAATGAAAATTAATTTAAAAAGAGACATCAAAAGAATATTTACAGATGGTGATACCTATTAATGAATCAAGAGAAATTCTGTAAAATACAGATTAAATAATCATCTTAAATTATTTAAAATAGATAGCTATTTATTTGATAAAATCTAAATTAGAATTAGAGGATAAATTGTGTTCGCTTGGGGATAGCAAATAATTTGAAATTGAGTTATAGAAAATGGAAGCAGATATAAGATAACATATAAGAGTGCAATAATAACTATAAATTTTATTAGAATAAGCTCAATAAAAGTTAGAGGAATTTGAATCTGAAAAAGTTAAATCTGAACAGTTTATAACTGAATTAAAAAAAAGTCTTGATAATAAAGAAAAAGAATTAATGACAATTAAGAATGAAATATATGATACAAAACATAAAGGAAATCAGAAGATTCCCTTTTAAGCAACTAAAACAGAACCAATATAATCATCAATGGATCATTTAGATAATTTATAGCTTTTCACTTTAGTAGAGAATTCTCCAAATAAAAATAACTTTAATTAAGTATAAGCTGCCATTAGGAAAGGTCGGAATTAACAATTAAGTAAAGAACCATAAAAACCTAAAGGAGATAATACTCCTTAATTGAGTAAGTGTTGTTCCATAATGAAAGAATCTTAAACTAATGATTCCCCAGATAAAATAGCAAGAAAATATTCATAGCCAAATTATATGGAGATAAATGCACTTAGATAATTAATTAAAAAACCTTGGTATACCTATTGATTCATTTTTAAAGTCCTTTGAATTAGAGAAATGAACCTTAGAGTTTTAGAAGTATTAGTTAAGAGAATTCACGTATTCCTAAAAAATGCTGATTAATAAAAAAGATTTATTTTTTATATTAACATTTATGAATTCTACAAAATCTGAAATACTTTTTGCAGGGTTTAATTAAGATTCAAGTAAAACAATAGAATATACTATAGGTATGTTTTGTGTTGGAACTGATACCGGATTTAGAGTTTGCAATGCATTAAATTCAACAGAAAAGTTTTAAAGAGATTTGAAAGGAGGTATTGGTCATGTAGAAATGCTATACAGAAGTAATATTTTGGCTTTAGTTGGAGGAGGTTTATAGCCTAAATATCCTGATAATAAAGTAATTATTTGGGATGATCGTAAATAATGCAATTTGTATTTAGATCTTGTAAAATGTATTGGAGAAATGAGTTTTAGAACTAAGATAAAAAATGTTAAATTAAAAAATGATAGAGTAGTTGTAGTTTTAGAGAAAAAGATATTTGTTTACAATTTTACAGATTTGAAATTACTTGATTAAATCGAAACTTGTCCAAATCCTAGAGGTATGTTCTTAAAATTAGAATTAGGAATTTGCACAATTAATACAGATGGTGACCATACAATTTTAGCAACATTAGAGAAATCAGTTGGGAAGGTATTTGTAAACAATTATGACTCTAACAAAGCTTATTGTATAGAGGCTCATGTTTCTCCCATTTCTTATCTTTAATTAAATTCAACTGGAACAAAATTAGCTACTTCTAGTGAGAAAGGCACTGTCATTCGTATTTATGATACAAATAGTGGGTATATGAATGCATTTAAAATAGATAAATTTCATAAGAGCTTAGAAGAGGAAATGATTATGCAACAATAACAAGTTTAGCTTTTGATTTTAGATCATAATGGTTAGGTTGTGCATCTGATTAAGGGACTATACATATCTTTGCTGTCAATTAAGAAGGCTTATAATAAGAACAAATAAGTTAGAATTAGGTTTCTCATAATCCAAAGAGTAAATTCGAATTTTTGAAAGGAATTATTCCAATTTTGGGATCTGAATGGAGTTTTGCCTAATTCAGAGTGCTTGATACAAAGTGTAAAGTTTCATTTGTGCCAGATGAACATTAATTAGTCGTAATTTCCTATGAAGGAAAGTATTATAAGGCATAATTTGATCCTTAAAAAGGAGGAGAATGTATAAAAGTGGAAGAGAAATACTTGATTAGTGATAAAGTTTGATTTAATATGTTAAATAACTCATAAACAAATTAAATTCTAATATCAAAAATATTTGTAGCTTAATGTCATCAAGATTATGAATAAGCAACAGGACTTTTAGAATAGTTAACAGGAAATTTGATTGAGAATTTGAATATGTTCAATAAACATCCGAAAATCCATAAGATTCTATAGGATAACTTCGAAATATTTCCTGAGAATTATTTAGTTTAGCCATAATAAATGGATGATGGTATTGAATAATATCATAAATATTTGGAATAGATTTGTAATTAGACAAGTAAGGAAGGTAAATGATTGGATAATTAAGTAGAGAAGAAAACAAAGAACAAGAATCCTTGGAGTGAGGAAGAAAGGAGATTATTTAAATAAGCTTTAAAGGAAGGTTAATCAAAAGATTGGAAAGCTATGGCAGCAATAATAAAAACACGATCTCCTCCATAAGTTCGTTCTTACTATTAAAAGTATATGAAAAAGAAAAGATAAAAATTAAAGACGGAAATCAAGGGTTAATGAATAAATATATATATATATTTATATAAATGATATATAGATATCAATAGAATATATAAATAATTGAATAGAACACTAATGTAATCAGGTAGCAGGAATGACAACCATCATTTTCCCATTTACACTCTGTGTTTTCTACTACATAACTAAAACTGAGACATTAGGTTGCATATGTAGCTTTTTCACATGTTTATTAATGACAAGAATTGAGATTTTAACTCCAAAAACACCTTGGATGATTTTAGCATTGTAATTTTAGTCCAAATTCATTACAAGTGAATTCAACACATCCTGATTGAGAAGGATAACATTGTTATTGACTTAATTTATTAAAACTTGGACATTCTTCTAAACTATAATCCACACAAGTCTTTGTTTAACATTAATTCTCTTCCCATTTACAAAATTATTTATGGCATGATCCTTAATATATTACATCTTCACATTTTTCTAAAGAAATACAAGATTCTCCCATTTCTCCATTTAAAACGCATTCACTCTTTTACGTACCTACAACCTATATTGCTCCAACACAATATTCCACATCATAATCTTAGCATAATCTCTGATCAGCATCAGATACGCATATTTTTTATTAATAATCCCACCGGCAATCTATTTCTTAACAATTTTCTTCGTTAGAATCAACTTTATCATTTTCTTGTAATTCTTCGCAACCTGTCAATTCTTAACAAAAACCTATTGTTATATCCCAATAACATCTTAATTTTCCGGCAAAATATGAGCAATCTTCACTTGTTCTTTCAAGACAATTTATTTCTTCACAGATTCCAGATTTTGTTTCAAAATAGCATCCTCTAGCATCTCTACACAAGTCCTCAAAATATATTTCGTTGCATTAACATTTCTTTGCTATGGAGAAACAGAGAAAATACACCATGCAAATTATTAATGCAATCATTTTTATTATTTAATCAACTATCATTAATTCAGCCTTAAATTATAAACAATTCAATTTCAATATCATTTTATGATATTTCTTCTATTGAATTTTACAAAAATATATCTTTTATTTTTTAATCTCATTTTATATTTTTTGTAAATATATCTATAAGCTTTTTTTCATCAATAAATCCATTACTTAAATAATATATACTACAAATTTATATGATTTAATTAAAAGTTTATTTACTTAATATAATAATATTTCTATATCAGGTATTCATGCTTAAAAGAAATAATATTATAATCTTAAATTTTTAGTGAGCTGTTGTTCTATATTGAATATTAACTAAAGCTTACATTTAGATAATATAAGGTCTTATCCTTAATTTTAAACTAAAATATATAACATTCGACTCAATTTTCAAGTCTATTTTTAATTGCAACTATAAAAAAAACTTAAACAAATTTTATTATTTTTTATAAAAATTCTTATCAAATACATGATTAATCTTATTAATATAAAAAATACTAAAAAGATTAAACGTAGAATCTTATAATTTCTAGAATAATTTTGAATTTGAACAATTTAAATATTTATAATCTAAAATTCTAATTATTAGAGATATTAAAATTTAGAGTAAATTAATATGATAAAAATCATATTTGGATTGAAGAAGATTTTTAAATTACATAGCAATAAAAAGCAATAAAGAGCAAACTCTCTAAATTATAACAAAAAAATTAATTTACTTTATCGAATAAGTATTCAAAATTTTATTTAAGATTTGCTGAGTTTAAAATAGATTATCATCACTTCTTCATACTTTAAATATAAAACTGCCATCATTTACCTTATTTTCTTTAAGTTAAAGTCAGAAATACTCTAACTTTGTTTTACAATTTTTTCTTTGGTTAAATATAAAAATTGTCCAAGAGCCATCAATCGTCCTAATGGTGTATTAATTCATCAAGAGGCTTTTTCATATCTTCGAAAGGAGTCATTATAAACCTCTAATATTTTTTATTGGATTCTTAAATTTTTTACATTATTTTAAACAAAATCTTCATCTATTTAGAATGAAATTTTTAATTAATCAAACTATTTAATAATAACTTCAAATAAGGACTTAAAATCTGGAATTAATTTTATTTTTTATAAATTTATTGATCTATAGTATTAATAAAAGACAAATTATAAATTGCATAAATATTGATCAATCAAAAACGAATCCTTGATTGGATATAATGCTAGGAATATCAAAACGATATAGTTTTATAAATGTCTGATGATAAAATATCATCCTATTTTATATGGTATCTTTAATATTTTTTTAATTCTTCAACTAAATTCCATAAAATAATATTTTTTATTCAAAAGAGTTAATAAGCTTTTGAATTTTAAGATATTTTCAAAGTATGGTAATAAAAATTGAAATTCTTAATTTTCTATAGGATTTCGATATTTACTTCAATATAAGTTGAATTTTTTTCAATAAATTATTCTAATTTAGTTAATATGTTTTTTTAAATTATTTCTAAATCCATTTTCATCTCCTCAACTATTGTTAAGTTAAAGTGAAATCATGAAGCAAAATATTTTTTTTAATCGATCTAAGTATTAGTTCAATTTTCTTGTCAATTTTAATTAAACTTTTTAAAGATGATTTTAGTTTGAGAATACAGATAGGAATTATTTCAGCAGTTATTATATTATTCTTAGAATATTTGATTACTTTTTCTATATATCTAATATTTGGTTTTTTTTTTATTTTAAATTTTCGAAAAACTCTTAAAAAGTCATAAAATCATTTTGCTTTAGATCATTTCTATTTTCACAAGAAGGTTCACATTAGAAAAATATTTTTCTATTTGGAAATACCTAATCATTTATTGATGTCATAGTCATTAAATATTATGGATAAAAGTGCAATATTTTTCTCTCTTGAATCATACTTAGAATAAATTTTTAATAAAAATAATACTATTAAAATATCAGATGATTAAATTTCTGATTGATTATTAAATTTTCAATAATAACAAGTTTTGATAAATAAATACAATTTAATTTTGCATTAAAGTAGCAGACACTCATTTTAAAAATTAACTGATAACTTATGAATTTTCTTATATAAATATACTTATTATAAGTTGATAATAATAATGTTGATTTTAAAATATTCTTTTTTTAATCTTTTCCAAAAAACTTATTATCCTTATTGAAATAAGTTAAGATATGATTTATTGCTAGGTTTTCATAAAATTGAATAATATTAATAGTAAATAAATTATTTTTATTGACTGAACTATGCAAACATAGTTAATTGTTATAAAGTAATTTAAACAAAATGAAAAAAGCATAAATGGACAAATTTTTCACAAATATGACAAATAGATAATATCTACAAAGTGTAGCATCTCCTACAACAACTGCTTTAAGCAAGCATAAAAGGAATGGCAGCTCAACAATTATAACAGGAAATAAATATTTGGTTTATTCAAGGCATTCTTCAAGATTTCTCAAAGACTCTTCTTCTAAACTTCCTCTATTAACAACAGTTATGAAAACAGAATCATAAGATACTCCTAAAACCGCTATTGTAAAAGCACGTAAAACTAGTGCAACATTTGGAGATTTTCGTATTACATAATTGCATCAAAGAAATAAAACTGAGACAATTCTCCTATAAAATAACTTCAATATTTCAAAATAAGAAGAAATTAAAGATAATTTTGAATAGTTTCAAAAAGATGAATAACCTTAAATACCTATTAATGAAAAAGAAGTAGAATAAATAAATTAATAACCTCCATCTATAGTTAATAGAAGTGAGGCTATTAGATTTTAACCAAAAGTTCAATTATCTGAAGTGTTAGGTGAGTAATTTCATTTTACATAAATCAGCTACAATAGCTCTTAAATTATGAAAAATTAAATAAAATCTAAGATAAATGAAATTGAATCATTAAATGAAAAGAGTTGTCATCTAATGAGAAAAATTACTTAATTGTTAAACACGCATAGAGATAAATAAAATTTGATTGATTAAGAAATTAAAAAAAAAAAAGAAATATTAAATTTAACAGATCGAGTATTCACATAAACTTTAAGTAATATGCCTGATGAAAGAACACCAAAAATTAGTGAATCTCATTTTAATTAAAAATTGAGTACTATTGCTAAAAAGCAATCTAAAGTAAATCATAACTTTAGTGTTTAAGAAACAGAATCCTTAGCTCCTTTAAAAACCATTGTTGAAGCCTTAAAAGATAAAAAAAATGAAAAAAAAGAAACTAAAGATAACAAGAACAATGAAATTAAACAAACAAATTAATAAATTTAAAATAAAAAGTTAAAAATCACAGTTATATATGAAGAAAATGAAAATCAAATTGAATTTTAATTACCAAGCTATATTAATGAAATTTAGACAAATTAAGATTAATTTGAAGTTAAGGAAACCAAATAATCTAACATATATTCTTTAGTTACTAAATAAATGCTTCAAAAGTAAAAGATGTACCAATATTTTCTAGTAAATTTGCTTTGAGACTTGTCAAAAAATTTGGAGATAGGGTCATATAAACTTAAGAAGATAATGATGCTATAGAGAATTTTAATTCTTTTAAAGCATCTCAATTTACAAGATATTATCTTTAAAATCATGTCTAAAAATGTTTAGAAACAAAATATGAAACTAAAATAGATAATGATGGAATCCAGAATAATAAAAATGATTTTCAATTATTTGATTATCCTGTATGTTAGGAAACATAATTTGAAATGCTCAGTAAAAGCACAGGATAAGTAGGAGTAGATCAATACAATATTTAAATTAAAGTATATATTTCTACAATATAAGAGAGGCAACAATAAAAAGTAATATGAAATTAACAATAATTTTTACTAACTTTCTTCAAAATATTTTGAAAATTATTAAAGTGAAAATAGTATTTTAAGTCCTTCTGGATCATAATTGGATTTAAGTGATATTGAAATGCAGAACTTTTTTAAAATTAATTATATCTATTATATTTTAAATTTAGTTTCTGTAAATGATTTAAAGTAAACTAAATTAAGAGTTATTGTAAATACTGTAGATGATGAAACTAAAAATAAATTTTTGCATGAAGAATTAATGAAATTTCCATTAATCATAAATCCAATAAAACAAGATTTTGAAGATCCAAATAACCAATGTATGATTATGCTTTATGTAGAGAATTATAGAAGATAAATAAATTAGAAAATTAATTGTCTTCGATAGATAAGACCATAATTTAAAATGAATTCTAAAAAAAATTTAGTTTTATTTAGGTCGGTTTATTTGAAGATTATTTAAGACATTAAGTTAGTGATTTAGAAAAGATTTATATTGAGTATTGTAAAACGATGAGAGATCTAGATAAATTGAATATAAAAGATAGATTTAAAACTGAATAACCTTCAAATTTAAATATACCAAGTATTTCTAGAAGTAGAATACATTCTCCAACAGGATCTGTATAAATATAAAATTATTATTAGAGCGAATCAAAAACCTTATAAAAGGAAACTAATCCTACAATAACAAAAGGATTATTGTTAAAAAAAAACATTAGATAAAAAAATTTATTAACCACTTAAAAATATGCATCTTCAACAAATGTATTCTAATCAAGTTCTAGTAACTTATAAACTTTATTACATGGTAATACAAATACAATTATTCATTAATAAAAATTTTAAACAATACAAAAAGATACTGAACCATAAGTAAATAAAGAATCTTAGAGATAAATTAAAATAAAATAACATTTGAACTCATAATCATCTATGGATCCTTTTTCTCTTTTATTTCGAAATATGTTATTATAGGAGAGTTCATAGAGTGATAAATCAAACATTGAAAGAGTATTTTCCCTGATAGAAAATCATAGACTATTAGATTTAAAAGATATGCTTCATCATGATCAAAATATCAATATAAATACTTAGGATTAAAATGGGAATACTTTCTTAATGTGTGCAGCAAGAACTGGAGCAAGAGATGTTATATAATTTTTATTACGTTAAGGAGCAGATATTTCAATAAAAAATGTAATAATTATTAATGATTGTAAAATAGAACTTTGGTCTAAATGCTATTTAAATAGCTATCAATCACTACCAATACTAAGTTGCAGATGAAATTAATAGATTTGGCAGATCAAATTCATATATAGCTAATTGATAAAATTTTGAAATTTTTATTGAAATTTATTACTTAAAAATATATGAGAACTTAAATTAATCAATCTTTTTAGAATTTTCCTTCAAACCATTCTCCTTTTTATATTTCTTAATTCAATTATTTTTATGTACCAGATCCATGCATATTTCCCTCTTTCCAATATCCTTTATAAAATGAACCATTAGGAAAAAACATTTCCCCATAACCGTCTTTTCTCCCATTTTTATAATTGCCTAAAATTAATAGACAATTTTTACCTATATATTTTTTGCCATCAGGCCAATTGAATTCACCTTAACCATTCATTTTGCCTTATTACCAATTTCCCTTATAGTTACGACCATCTACCCATACATAATAACCTTCTCCTTAAATTTAATTATCCATAAATTCTCCTTCATAATAAGATCCATCTGAAAATATGAATTTCCCTCTGCCTTATATTTTCCCTTAATTAAATTCCCCTTCATATTATGCACCATCAGGCCATACTTCTTTACCTTTCCCATTCTATAAATCTTAACTCCATTCCCCTTAATAATAAGCTCCATTAATATGATAAAATGACCCTTATCCTTCTGCCTTACCTTATTACCAAAAACCTTCATACATATCACCATTTTAATGAATCATTCTTCCATGTCCATTTGCTTTATCATTTTTCCATTCTCCTTCATAAAAACTACCTGATGGCCAATATTATATTCCATAACCACTTCTTTAACCGGTCTTCCATCCGCCAACATAAATTATATTAGAATCATTAAATTGCTAATTAAGTTAACTAAACTACATATGGTGGGTAAGTTGTAATTTTTTTGTTATAATGAGATTATGATGGTTAATATTTACCAAATTTTGATATAGTATGTCTAACAAGTTCATTTTCAATTTATGGCTTTGTTTTACAAGGAATAGCTTCACTTGAAAAAATAAGTTCTGTATCATTTTGCAATGTTGGCTCTTCTTAAATTATTATATTTGAGATTTTTTATGGTTCAGTGTCTTCTAGAGTGATCAGGATTGTATTAGACTAAATTTTGTATTATTTATACATGTTTAAATGTCAGAGGATACAATAGTTCTGGAGGTTCAGTTAAGTATGGTTCTGGTAATGACTTTGAACAACATCCTTATCCCATTATTTTATTTAAGTATTTAAAATAATATGTAAAATCCTTATAAATCAGGAAGAAAGAATTTAAAGAAATCTAATAACAATTCATATTAATAACAAAATTAACAGAGAATTATGCATTAGAATTTAATAAACAATTATTCTAAATTTAACCCAGTCTCTAAAATAAAGTTTATAATTATATGTGATTGATTTAAAAAAAAAATTATTTTCTGCTAAAGTTAAATTTATGAAATGTGAGTCAGGTTATTATGTAAATAAAGATCCTATAGTAATTTATCAAATTAACATACTTTTTGTTTTACTTAAAGAATTAAAATTCAAAAATATGGGACTGTTTTAACTTAAAAAAATGAATATTCTTAGATTTATTATATTAATTTCAAATTGTTCCTCATCATTTATATATATATATATTTCTTAACCAAGATCTATTTTGCTCTATCAAAATTAAAAAAATGTTTATAGAATTAAATAGAGTTAAGGACTAAGAACCTTTAGCATTAAATATTTTAAATTAAAATGAATCATTGCACATCATGATTCAATAGATCATATTAATTTTTTATTACATACATAATCAATAAAATCATCATGATCTGAAGAATAAGATATTTCACTCTATTAGTTTTTTAGAGAATATTTCAATTTTTTTTATTAAGGAT